CTGCCGCTGGTGTTGTTATTGTTCCTGTTTTGGGCACACTCAGCTACGTGACACTGACATGGATTTTCGAGTTGTTTGCCGCTGTGTGTGTGTGTGAGTGTGCGAGTGTTTCAAACGTTCCAAACGTTTCTTTCGTTTCGTTGCCAGCCCGAGGAGGTCCTTGGAGGCACTCTCGCACACACGTGCTCGCTTATGAGGTGCCGTCCTGCCTACCCGTTCATTTGGCATGTTCGTGCCCTAAGACCCACTTGCACTTTGTCAATTCGCAAATCTTTTTGTACGCCATTCTTTTAGCGAACTTAGCCGCTGCCATCGTCATCAAAGGAAAACCCACGCACGCCGGCAAAAAGTTTATAGAACTAAGCTCGAACAAATGTTAAGGGGAAATCGGGGCAGCAATCCTTAAAAGCTTGAGGCATCGGCGGTGGCTGTGGCTCAAACATTTAACAATTGTGCGAGTTAACTTTGATGAATTCAATTATTTGAGCACAACATCCTGTCTTCCGCATCTGCATACAGCTTCAACCAAAATGTTAGTGTTCTTATTGTTTTGCATTCATATACTACTAAATATTTTTAAATGCTTCTTTTCCAGTAAGCTTTAAATAAATCAAAAAAGAATAGATAAACAGATAAATTTATGTTGTTACGAAAAGGAACTGCATGTTTTGATCATTGTTGAATAAATCACTTCATGAGAATACTTTTCTTTAATAACTGATAAATAAACAAAATGATAAGCAAGGCTATAAATCAAAATCTAATCTAAATAAGTGAATGCTACTTTCTTGTAGGCAACTGTGCCACAGTGCACGTACTTTGTCTTCGCCCTCGTTCAATGAGTTTGTTCCCGTCGTCGTGCTTAGAACGAATTGAAATTCCCCCATGTCCTCACGTCCCACGGTCGTCTCAATCTGTAAAGTGGATTTATTTCGTTGAAATCGAAAGTTGATTTCTCCCATATCCCATATCCCAAATCCCTTCTCCCCATGGCCGTGTTTGTGTCATTGTGTCACGCCCTACTGTACAGATGTTTGACTCTACCCTTTGCCATTCTCGGGTTTCTAGGTCTCTCGTGTGTGGGCGAAACATTAAAGGATTTATCAATTTACGCAATGGAACTTTCGGAAGTCAAACAGGTTATTCCTCCGCCAGATTTGTGTCTTATTATATAGTTGCGGGGTGATTGATTAAATTGTTTCCGAGCCCCTCGAGGAAAGCTAAGATGGCAGGGAAAAAGTTTGAAGCTTAATGGTCGGGGCTAAAGGAGTTAAGTAATAAGTTTGATCTTTGATTGAAATTACCCGAGAGCCATCTTGGGATTTCTGAAACCTCAAAGACTTTAATGGTTTTTTTGAGGCAAAGCCGCATTATTGATAATTGGTAAAATTGTTAGAAATTTTATGGGCTGCACACAATAGAAATATAATTTTGAATAAGCTATTTTCGGCAATAAGTGTCCATCAACAATAGTTTTATTCTCGCTTCCATTAAGCCCGTTTTGGTTAAGTAATCCCATCAGCTCCATTTGCTAATTCAAATACGTCAAATTAACGCCAGGACCAGGGACTCAACCATAAACAAGTGCAAATGCAAATTGCTTTTTGCGGTTGGAACAACAGAAGTGGGGGAATCCGCAGCAGCCACAGCAAAACTGGGGGCCAGAATTATGGCAGGCACTGTAGCACTGTAGCACTGAGCACTGAACACTGAACTCTGAGAGCTCTGAGGTCAACATATAATGCTTTATTAACGACGACCATCGTAAAAATTGTATATGGAAATTTCAACTGGTTTTACGATTATGGGTCGTCAGAAATATCAACCGACTTTGGTGGTGGCCAATGGTAAGGAATGCGAACGCAAAATGGCGGAATGCTGTTGCAAATTGGTCGCAAACAATGCAAACAGTTAAAACCAAAATCGAAAAAATTAAATCTCCTGAATTGCAATTAAACGATTTCATGCATATATGTAAATGGATTGCATAATGCTCAATTGCCGGAATCCGCGGAGCCATGCGAAATGAAATTACAAAATGTAACCATCAGCAGCAACAGATCCCAGGAACCAGGCCAATTGCAATAACAATGAAAATACTGGCCAAACCACTGGGCCAACCCATAACAACAACTATTAAATTAATGTTGAAAACTGAAATCAATTTATTTGTAGAAAATCATGACGCATGAGGAAACAGTCGGCGAAGGGAAAGGGCGCATCCCACACACATTATTTAATGAATAAATCAGATGACTGGCCCTGTGTCGAGCAAACAACCACGACAATAACCAAAATCACACAAAATTCAATTGCAGCCACACACGCAAAAAAGCCAACCGTCATTGTTAGTCGTTCTTCAAATCGCTTTCCTATCAAAATCCATCCGTTCACTTTTTTGACTGACAATTCGATTTTTGATTTGCATGTGCAGTAAAGTTTCATAATATTTCTAACCATTTCTGTATAATTGATATATTATAATATAAATATTATATTTCTTTGGAATATATATTCATACAAAATAAAAAGTAACTTACCAATCAGGACACATGTTTTATGGATTTACTTATCACTGTAAATATATGCATGCAATCAAATTTTGCTAATTTACAACCGTGCATATTTTTTCAATGGCAAATCTGTTTGAAGCTCAGTCCAGGTTCAGACACGCCAACGAGTCCCGGGAGTCCTCTAGTTGGCCAATTAAATTCAAATACATAATTGATAAGCGGCTAATTTAACGGCTCGACGCACAGAGCTAAAATAACAACAATACGGGGCAATAATGACAGGAATAACAATATGCACGAAGGGTCGAATTAATGACAAGTAACAGGATAACGATTTCAGCACGAACTCAAACACAACAACAGCCTGCTCAAGCCAAAATTGAAGTCCCGGTCCGACGTACATTTATAGTTTATTTGATTTGAATTTTGTTGACAGTTCTCGTACATAAAGTGCAAACATTTTCCACAGTTACTGGCCCACTTTGTTTGGCTAAAAAGTTCCCATCCGGTTTCCGTGTGTATGTCTAGCCTTATAAATAAATTAAATAGTTTTGCCAAATTTATTTGATTACGCAATTTATAATTGGCGCTTATCCTTGGGGAAGGATCACGTGCCAGGAGAGCAGACTGCCATATCGCAATTTTGGGATTTCGGCAGTTGATTTGTGTTTGCCATGCGTAATTGCGTACCGGAAGTGCAGCAGGTCATTAATGATGCTCCCCACACATTTTGATTCTTTGTTGTTGTTTAGTTTGTGGGCGAAATATTTGGTTTGGGTGGCAAATGATACACTGGCGCCATCTGCACTTATATTTTATTATCAGTTGGCAGCTTTTAAGCTTCTGTTTTTCACACCCAGAGGTCGCTTTTGCTTCTATAAAAAGTTTAAGAGGGATATTCCTAACTTTATCAAATCATTCTCGGAAAGCCAATGTTTTTTACCCAGGTGGCAGCCCTGCCCGATATAGTCGGCCGATCCGGCTCGTTCCGACTTATACACTGCGTGCAATAACTACACAACTTTTGGGAAAGTTTTAGCAGATAGCTTCAAAACTGAGCGACTAGTTTACATAGAAACATACAGACGGACAGACGGACCGACGGACAGACGTACAGACGGATTTCGATTCAGATCGAAATGCTGATCAAGAATATATATACTTTATAGGGTCTGAGGTGCCTCCTTCACTGCGTTGCAAACTTCAGACTGAAATTATAATACCCTTTGCTCTGCAAGGGTATAAATAAAAGCTAGTTTCGGTGAGCCGAAGGTTATATATATTATACTAGCGGACCCGGCGTGCTTTGTCTCGCCCCAATTTCACGATTTCATATAACCCTAGAGTAATAATAGAACACTGGCAATTCCAATTTTTGGGGAAATTTTGTTGACTCGAAATCATTGGAGAGCGATGTGGTCACAAAGCGCCCGCTCGGTGGTGAAATTGCCCTTGAATCTGAATGTTGGGATGCAATTTTGAAAAAATGGCAGTTGTTCATTTTGATAAAAGAGAGACGCCATTACCTTATTACTTGGATTGTAGCCTGGTTGATGAACAACCTCGGCTCCAGATGACGTCATTTGAAAGCATCCGTTATATTTTTGTGCAAGCTTCGGAAATTCTGACTATTTATGAAATTGCGCGAACGCCGTCCCAGTCTTAAAATAATTTTTTTTTTTTTGTCTGTTGGTTTTTAATCTTAAAGAGTATTGAGGTAAGCAACACAATATTTTTTTTTTTAATTTTAAAGATTATTTTTAGATGTACAAGTCATTGTTTTCGGTTTTATCGTCTGAGTGTTCGGATGAGCAAACATTGTCTGTCAAAAGCCAGCTTATATTTTCTTTAACGAATTCTATGGAACACGAAAATGATTATAAAAATAAAAAAAAGGCTCTTAATTTATATGAAAGTATTTTTTTGAAAGTCATATATGTACATAACTGTCGAAAGTGTGTATTTTTGACTACAATTATAAAAGCCCCTGCAAGGATATACAAGAGTTTCCTAAAAAGTTTGGAAAAGTTTAATGTTTAATTTAACAATTTACATTTTTTTGCCTTTTCAGATAACCGATCCAGTTGTACAAGTCGACGATCAACCAAGCTATTTCTCCAACCAACCAGCTTATTTCCCCAGGCAACAGGATCAGTTTAATCAGAATGGGGATGAGGTCTCTACAGAAAATCAATGGTGGGTACTACTGTAGGTTACGATGTTGTCTTCGGTAGTCCAAAACCAACACTATTTTATGTCTTTCGAAATTTATAAAAAAAAAAACTCAAAATGCTATTTCATAAATAAATAAAATTGCTGCTATTCAGAGTTCTTTTAAAGTGAATTCCCGATAAGAATCATATTAATACATACCTATATACGTGTTATAGTTTTTGGTCTTATCGCTTGAGTGTTCGGATGATCATTTATATACTCAACCATTGGCTCTCCAAAGCCAGTCTTTCATTTTCTTTACCAATGACAAGAATGTCTCGGTTGAAAGGAATACTTTCGATTCTGTGCCTTCTTCTGGCCACGTGGCAAGTCGAGTGCGCCTGTGGTGGAAGGCAAAGTTATCGGTGCGTGCCACGTCCGATGTGCAAAATTGAACTGGGTTATAAAACTCTTCAAGCCGGCAACATGGGATGCCCTTCCACGGCGGTCTGCTGTCCAAATACTCAAATGGTAAGAATAATAGAAAAAATAAAAATGAAAAGAAATTTCAAAAAAAACTTTGCAAAAAAATATCACTTTTAAAATAATTATATGTATTAATTAAAACGAATTTATTGTATATGAAAACATTTTACCGCGAGATATAAACATAAATGTGAAAAGTGTGTTGTTTTAACCTACTTGTAAAAAATAGGATATACAAAAATTTCTTAAAAGAAAAGCTTATGTTTCTTTTTGCCTTTTTAGAAAAGCAATCCAGTTGTGCAAATCGATGAACTAGTAAATACCAATTGCGGCCAACGTAACCCAAATGGAGCAACCTTTACTATTAGGGATTTACCAGGTTTCGCTCAGGAGGCCGAGACGCCTTGGATGGTGGCTTTGCTTAGACGAGATCTCAGCTATAAGGCCGGTGGCGCCCTGATTGCCGATAACGTGGTTATCACAGCCGCCCACGTACTCGAAAACCTACATGAATACGATCTGATTGTCCGGGCTGGCGAATGGGACTTTCAAACCGACTCCGAGAACTATGGCCATGTAGACGTTGGCATCCGAAAGATTGTGCGTCATCCTGATGTGGATACATTTAGCGGGGCTAACAACTTGGCCATTCTGTTTCTTAACGACCGGATCAAACTGGCGAAGAACATTCAGCCCATTTGCTTGCCAAAAGAAGAACAGTATCCTGGTCGTCAATGCATCTTCACTGGCTGGGGACAGAAGGACTTTGGCCGTTATCCCAATATGAATCTGATGAAGAAGGTGGAGATGCCGGTGGTGTCAAACGATGTGTGCCAACGAACGATGCGCGATTATTATACCGACGAGTTCGTGCTCCACAACAGTCTGATGTGTGCCGGCGGAGAGGAGGGCAAGGATTCCTGTCAAGGCGACGGAGGATCCCCGCTGGCCTGTCCACTGTCGAGCGATCCCACCCGCTATGAACTGGCCGGAGTTGTTAACTTCGGCGTCGGATGCGGAGAAAGAGGATATCCCGGTGCTTACACGAGTATTGCGAAGCTCAAAGGCTGGATAATACAGGAGAGAGCTAAATATTATGATCCTAACGTGATCCATCGTCCACCGGTCGGTCCTGCGAATCGGGGAGCACGAGACGTTCAACCTTTTCAAAATGGTAATTTTTCAAATATAGAATCATTCCCAAACGCAAATTCCGAGAAAATTCCTGTGTGGACGGACAATCCCACCACAATTACCTCCCAACCAAAATCAGAATAGCAGAGAACTTTGGCATACGGGTTTCCTTAATTCCGGACCGAATGTCAAAAATGGAAATGTCGCACCTCCCCGGTATGATTCCCAACCGAAACCGATCATTCAACAGGAACTGATCCCGTGGAAACCACAGAACCCAAACAATATTAACGATCCGCACAATAGATTCAAACCAAACCAAGATCAACAAGGCAATCAATATGGCGTTGGCGTGACGACCCCGATGCCCCAGAGACAGTTCCCGATGCAACACTTTATCCCACCAAATAGTGTTCAAGTGCAACCAAGTCGGCTCACTCCGACATTCGGACAGCAGGTAGATCAAAATGGCTTTGGAAGACAGCAAGTAAACAATGGTTGGAACTTGGGACCACAGAATTCCCCACCAAACGGTGGGAATTGGGCACAGTCCTTTGGGCAAACACAACAATTCCCTCTAATGCTCGTCAAAATCAACCAAGCTATTTGCCCAAACAACCCGCTCCTCCCTTCAGTCAACAGGGTCAGTTTAATCAGATTACATCACCACGACCAAATTTTCTAGAAGAGGTCACTACAGAAAATCAAGAAGTGTTCTCTACTACATTAGGTTACCAATACTATTTTACTTCTTTCAAAATGTATAAAAATAGTAAAAAAAAAACTTAAAATTATTCTCACAAATATTGTAAAATAGAATATTAACTTCTTTTGAATTGGGAATACTATTTTTCTTTTTTCAAAATGTATAAAAATAATAAATAAACTTAAAATAATTCTCACAAATATTATAAAATAGAATATTGACTTCTTTTGAATTGGGAAAAAAATCAGGAGAAATTGATTTCGTTAAACAGTAATCTACTGTGCATCATTAGCCCGTTGGGCTTGTGGCAAAATACCGGGCCAGCGATTTGTTACCATTCATACACAGGACACAGTGGACAGCCGCAGGGTCCGCAGAAAGGGGGAACAGGATTGCAGGGATGGCGGAGGACTGTCGTCCTTTTCCAGGAGCGGAACTTCGGACCCGCGACATCGCTCGGCACCCACACGCAGCAGCTGCGGGCGCCATCAAAAACTTGTGCTTGTGGCGGGCGCACTTTAATTTCAATTTGGCGCCGACCTCCGCAACGCCACCAGCACCACCACCACCAGTACCACCACCACCGCAATGAGACTGGCCCCACGGCATTTTATTGTTTTCCACTTTACGCCTGTCTCCCACTGGAGACGGTGTCCTGACCGCGTGTTATTGTTTTGTTGTGTTTTTTAGTGCCGTCCTCAAATTCAAGAGTTCTCCCGCCACCGCGACTCCCTTGGGCTTTTTTGAGGGATTGAGCCACTTGTCGATTGTAGGCAAATCAGAGGAGCCAGCAGTTTGGGGATTAAAAAAAATCGACCAAAAAAAAAAAATTTCAAATGAAGCAGTTGGTTAGAGAATTGAAATACAAGCTTTAGAGGTATGCCACTTCAAATTATTAAAGTTATGGACTTCGAATTAGTGATTTTTGACTAAAGTTATAATAATCTCTGCAAGGCTATAAAAATATAAAATGTTTTGAAGCATAGCAAACCATATACATATATGGTACTCAAAACATTAAAAATAAAACAAGTAAAATATATTTTATAATACCTTTTGTCATTTATTTCTTCGTTCTTGTTTTCTTATGCTTTTTTCTGTTCCTTCGTTCATATTATTTATTTATAATATTTTTAGTTGTTCATCTTCCTGTTTAATGTTGAATCTTAACTTGGTTTTAATTATATTATTTATGTATACCATTTACTTATAATTTCCACTTTGTAATTAGAATAATGAGCAAGTTTATATTAATTTATAATTAATTTATGTAAGTATGCGGTTTACTTTCTTCGTTTCCTTCTTAACAGTTAGGCTTCTCGTAAATGTGTTTTTTTTCTTTGACTAATTGTTAATAGTTTTCGTTTTATTAAACTATTTCGCGAAATTCATTGTAGACTTTTCATACAAAATAACATAAGCTTTGTCTATAGGTGTAGTTTTATGTTCTTGGTGAGCATGTGTTTATGTGTGTGTTGTTTTTGTATAACAAAAGACCAAAATTTCATTTATCCAAATTTTAAGCATTTTTGAACAATTTCGATATTTATTTTAAGCCATTTTGCGGGTCTTTGGAATATACAGAATGTATGTATATGACTTATATGTGTGTACGTATTTATATTTTCCCGTTCGGTTGTGGTTTTGCATTAAACATTTATATTTTCAAATCTCATAATGACAAATTTAATGAAACAACAATTTCTCTCACAATTTAAAAGTTGTCTTGTGTTTATTTTAGTTTTAATATTCAAATGTGTTTGACAGCAATAACAGAATTTATTAACGTTGAATATTACTTGATAGAATGACTTCGGTTCCAAATAACGTTTAAGTCAGTAACTGGCTTTTTTATTTTTCATGAATGTATGCTTACTTGTCATATGATGTCTGTTATGCTTTTCGGTCTCAATTAAAGTACTAAGTGTGGCAATCAAAACTTAAACAAAATTTAACGAAACGAAAAGCGGCAAATTATAATATACAGTTTCTGGGGATTCATCTCATTCTTTGTAAGAATGTTTGAAGAAAGGGTAAGTTCTTCAAGGGATCGTTTTATTACATGTTCTATATACGTTTTTTTTTTTTTTCGGATGGCTTTATATAAATGTTCCATATAGAAAGATGTATATAGGGTTTATAGAGAGCAAAAGTGTGTTCATATTTAAATTGTAGTTCATTTGTTTTTTCTTATTTTGCGGTTTTGTTTTTAGCAAAAAGCACGATTTCCAAAAAGCAAAAATCGCATTGTCAAAAATTTGATTTAAATCGTAAGTTAATAATGGTAGATTTAATTGTTTTTCATTTTGTTTTCCATTCCATTAAGACCAATAAACATTACATTCGTTTTTTGTTTCTTGTCAATATTTTTCATATGCCTTTAGAAAATTATGGACTACACATACAAACATTCGATTTCCTTATAAAAATAAACAAACATAGAAAATGTTGCAGAACAATATCGTATTATATTATTACATACTTCAGTAAAGTTTTCATTTTAATTTTGGTTTTATTCTGATATGGAATTTTTGTTTTGCAAAAAGTTGAATACATAAATATGTTTATTATCTTCGAGTTGAAGTTATGCGAAGGAATTGAATGCCATTTTACAGTGGATTTGTGGTATTGTGGATTTGAGAACAGGAGTGAGTGAGAATGTAGCCGAAGATGGCGGCCGAGTGATGGATATAGAGAGAGGGGAATGTTGTTGGATAGCGATCTTAACTGTACGGTGTATTGTGTATATTGTGTTCTGCCTTCGGTGGCCTACCAGGTATATCCATTGTCTTGTCTCACACATTCCCACCCACGCCACTTAAAGTCAGTCAAGGTCCCCAGCCATGCACACGCACGCACACACAAACACAAACACACCCACCCAATCACGCACACACTCCAGCTCAGATTACGCATACGACCGGGTGTCCAAACCCGTGCAGCACTGCAACATCGTCCAATCCGTCGACATTGTCATCGTTTAACAAACAGCTCTTATAACGTACGGCTTACAATTGATTACTCGGTTTATGTGGTGTGTTAAATTAGGTTTATTACATATTTACTATATATATTAAATATTCTGCTAATATTTCTTCTAATGCTTGTATGGATCCTCCCTCCTTGCATGCTCTTCATCCTGCCGGTGCTGCCCTTTAACCGGCCCTAACTAACTACATTATCTAACCGTCTAATGGGTGTAAGAATGTTCTTGGTTTTCTTCTGTTTTTGTTTTTTTTTTTTTTTGGTTTCCTCTTGCCACCGACAGCTTAAAGCTGAACAGGCAACCGAGAGAAAATGTTTTGAAATTGTGTATGCTTGGTTAATGACGTTTCGAGTTAAATGTTTTAATATATATTTCCTTATATAATCGTATTTTTTAGTTTAAGTTAATTAGTAGTTATTGATTTATAAATTGTTTTACTTTGTTTGGATTTCTTTTTTCGTTAAGTATTTTAATGGAAGACATTTTTTATACAAGTTTAAGACACAGAAAATATTTTTTCTTTATATTTTGTAAATGTTTGTTGTGTTTTTTGTTTGCTTGTGTTTAGAGTGAGTGAGTGTAGGTGTGAATATGTAAGTGTTTCGAGTAAGTTTTGTATTTTTGAAATAGTTTTGCTTGTTAGTTTAGAAAAGAAATAATTGTTATTTCAGAACTCCGATAGATATGTAAATTTCTATGTAGGTCTAATAAATGAAGAAAACAACAAAAAGAACATACGATATAGTCTAAAAATTAATGAATCGACTACCCTAGTTGATCGATATAGGTTTTCGCCTTTCGCTTCTTGTTATTTGAATGAGGTTTTGTATAAAAATGTATATAAAATAAATTATTATTCCCTCTCCGCTTTATTTTATAATTTATTTTCTGCAAAACTAATCAAATATTTATTCAATAATTAACTTGTTTTTTTTTATTCTTTCTATTCGTTTTGCTTGTTTCTGTTCAAAATTTGATGTCAACCATGTACATTTAAGATATGACCTGTCTATATCTATGTTCTGGTTTTAATTTAGTTTCTGGTGTGCTTTTGTTGTTTTTACATTGCTGTCGGGTATTTCAAGTCTTCCATTTGTTCAGTGAATTCGATTTCGTTTGGTTGTAAAATATATAATACTTCATATTTGTGCGTACGCAGTTGAGTGCAAAAGTAACTCCGTTCATTTAGTATTTAAGTTGTACGATAGAAAAAAAAGGAAAAACGAATTATTTATCGGTAGGAATTTTGCTCATTATGAATACTTTTGGATACTATTTACATAATTTGACTGATAACTGGCTTTCCTTCATGGTTTCATTCAGTAAACGATTTTTGCACTGTTTCTTTTCTTTGCATTTCTTAATTTGTATTGAGGATAAAATAAATAGTTTTAGTCAAAGGTAAACAAAGCTCGCTCTAAAAAGTATTTATACTTGACTAAACAATTTAGTTTTAAATGCTATTCTTATTGCACACATACATACAGAATTGATGTTTAGCTATCATTTTGCGTAATTCTCAATGAAAATATTTTTCTGCAAATTATTGTCTACAAACATAAGGATATAAACTCGTCAGAATTATCTGTGTAACGTTACTCGTTTTGCAAATCTTCTAATAATTTCTTTATACCTTTTTTCTCCTCAATTAAAAGAAAGAGGATTGCTAACAATCATTATTTCGACCTCAAATCAACACCCTCCGTTTCAAAAGAAATTCAAGAGCCCTCTAGAGCCCTTTCCGCTTATTGTTTTCGACACAAAAATAGTGCAAACCTAATGCTCAAGACCCATTTAGTACTCATATCACGCATTGGCCAGCACAAAGGTCACGGCCACCATCAGGAGATGGGCCACGATCACGGAACCCGACATGTGCAACAGGGTGCTGCCACGCCCACATTGCTGTATCTCGATCTCCTCGGGGTGATAGTTGATGCACTTCTTGGGTCGGCGACGCGACTCCTGCTCCTGTCCTTGTCGTCTCGTACTGCAGGCTCCTAAATTGAAATAAAAATAAGATAAATTAAAAAGAAATCCTAATGAATATCTGAAAAATACTTACCGACAATGCCCGCCTCCTCCATGGGCTCAATGTCCAATTGTTTGGAGCCACACGGGCACAGAGTGTCCACCACCAACAGGATCAAATTGCTGTGCGGGATCTTCTGGACGCTGAAAGGGCGCTCGCAGCCAGAAACGTGGCAGTTGGTTAGTTTGCCCTGAAAGGATGAGAAATATTAAGAATTTTCATTAAATTCAGGGAAACAACACCCACCTTTAGTGGATTGTTCTGACCACCCTGGTTGAGTCGCTCTGGCTGGAGCATGTAGAGATCGGTTCGCAGATCGCAGCGCCTTGCATTCTGCGGATCCGGTGCAAATCGAGGTCCCACGTGGGGTTTATGTTGTCTAGGCGGTGGCGTCGTATACTCCTAAAAAGAAATTACAATTAAGAATTTCAAATGGTTATACTGCACTACTCGAAAAAAATAAATTAAAAATAGCTTACTTATACTACAAAGAATAAGTGTAAGTTGTATTATTTTATATAAATATGTATATAATATTTTAATAAATTATAATCTTTCTTATGTCCTTATGCTTACCACATCAGCTGTGGTGAAGAATTCATCCATTTCTTGGTCCACCTGCATGTTGTACTCGTTTCCAAACTCGTATTCATCTTCATAATTGTTATCCACAAATACAACATCCTCATTGTCGTAGGTATACTCCTCCTGTGGCCAGGCCCTCAGCGAGGCTGGCATAAAGGACAACCAGGTGGCACTCAAGGCCAAAAGATGGTTAAAGAACCAGGATCCCAGGCGATTCGGTCGCAGGATGCCACCTGCAGCCGTGTAGGGATTGTCCGCATCGGAACAGACTCCCTGGTAATCGTTGACGGTTACCCTTTTGTAGATCCGATCCTGAACCAAGGAGTCCATTATAGTGCCGTCGATCTGACCGAAAAACTTGCCGGTATGCTCCATCTCCTCGGATATGATCACAAATCCGCTGTTGTCCAAAACATAGCAGTCGAGATTGTCCGACGCACAGGTTCTCTTGCAGCCCGTCATTCCAGTACACTGAAATCAAAAAAAAAGAAGGAGTTTATACAGTTCTAAACAGATTCTATGGTAAATTCTATGTAAATGTAAATATTCAAGAAATTCTGAGTAAAAGTAAAACACTCAAAGACACTTACAGCTGATGTGATGTTAATGAAATGTTTCGCAAGAGAATCGTGCTGGAACTGCAGACCCACAACTCCAGCGGGAGCTTTGTGACCACGATGCTCCACAAACATGGCATGGGATGCAGTGACCAGAGTGGCATTCGACTTTATAGCATAGCCCGATCCAAAGGGTACACTGTACACAAAACTATCCGGCTCCACGGAGTGCTGATCGATGGCTCGCTTGTACCAAGATGTATCCATGGCTCTTACATTATCTTCGCTAAAGTGTCTGCGAAATATACAAAAATTATTTGAGAATATAGTTCGAAAAACTGACGTATTTTATACTTACGGTTCGGGAGTGTCTTCCGGTCGCTTAACATGATCAATCCAACGAAGAAGACCTGATCTCGTAGCCACAAACGAAGTAGCAACCACAAACTTTTGATATCCTTGCCTAAGAATAAAAAATAAATATCCATATTAGTCTCTGGAAATGATAAAATTTTATTTATTTGGGGCCAGCATCAGATATTTCTACGGGATGTTCGTTCGAGCCTTCTCCATGTGGCTGGTCCTCTAAAGCGATTGCATTCAATTCTACTCCAACTTCAATCAAATTACACTTCGATTTACCTCTTAAGAATTGCCATCAAAGTGGCGATTGGACTATAGAAATTATTTATATATAATTTGTGCATATCAGTACAAAGTTGCATTGGTTAAAAAAACATTTTAAATTATTTGCAGTGGGAAAGAATATTTTTGCATTATGGTTATTCAAGTGAAAGTGTGCAGAGTTTTAGCAAAAAAAGGAAAAGTGTTCGCCATCAAAGAAATAGAGTGAGGAAAATATATGCGGAGAGAAAATGGTTTTTGTGCTTTAGTAAAATTCATAAATTAAAACAAAACAACGATTTCGTAAAAAATTGAATTAAAATTAAGCTTAAATAAATAGTGTATAAATTACGCTCCAATTAAATTAAACAAATTAAATAAAATAAAATATTTTTAAATCAAATTTCAAAGTCTGAGCTATACATATGTATATTTTAAGAATAATGTAAAAGCAAAATTAAAACGATAAAAAATAATTTTTGCTCCTCAAACTTACTGTTTATCTTCCTTGCCGCTGGAGGATCCTGTTGTATTCCTGTCGAGTCCATCGGTGACCATGGCATCGCGCACCAAGCTCTGGATGAGGGTTCGATCGCAGAAGTAGGGCTCAGCCTTGCGAGATCCCTGAGAGTTCAGGTGCTGCGACCCAAAGTGGCTCGAACCGGGCGAATTGCCGTTGGAGCCACTGTGCATGTTGTGATGTGGCTGCGGTGACTTTGGTCGAACCTTTTTCGGCGAAAGATGATCGGGATTAGCCCACTTTCCAGATACGATAACCCCACGAGGGTTAATCGCTGCTCTGATTTCAGATTGCTTACCGACATCCACTTCCAACCGGGTCTTCCAGCACGCGATAGAAAGTGCAATACCTGCTCCTCCGGCGATCCGAAGCTGGGCTCCTGGTCCCGAGAGGAGTACTCCCCAGAACTCTCCCGCTCCTTCTCCAGATCGCTGACGCTATTGTACTCGCAGTACACCCAATCAGGATGTACGCGCCAGTTGTCTCCTTTGAAGTATTCGGTAACTAAAAGGAGTAGCATCATAAATGTGTTACTTAATATTTATAAGGGAATATCTATGCAAACTTACCATTGTTACGCGAATGACGGATCTCCTGTTGGGAGACAAACTCATGGCTACCGTATTTCTCCGGGAGCACAATAGCCAGCGTGAATGGTGTATCTTCGATGGGACCGTAGAAGTAGCGATGCGTCCTGGTGGAAACCCTTTTCGAGTCATCGTAGTGGTTCATTACGGTGAACTCAGTTTCACCCTCCTTGGGTTTGATCATATCACCTCGCATCTGATAGAAGAGACAGTTAAAATAGCATTATAATATACTATTTATTATGATATGGGTTCAAAGGATATAAGCATAAATAACTAAAAGAGAGTCATGGGAAAGCATTGAAAACACAAGTTAGTAGTTAGTTAGTTTAAGAATAGAATTCCGTTCAGTAAATAATTTTTTAGATTAATTCAAGTATGCTGAAAAATATAATATGGTATAGTGACTCAACCCACCTCGTTTAGAAGGTTCTTGTTTATCTCAATAATTTCGTTGTTGTTGCCAAATTCCGTTTCCGGCAGTTCCAACTCCGTGATGTCCACCGATGCGTATTTGGGCTTCAGCTGGTCGATGTACTGGTTGGCATCGCCCAGGGGTCGCAAATCCGGGTGGTAGAGCACCCGACCGTTGTTATCCACGATAAACGAATAGCCATTCGGTCCCAGCTTGTGTTGGGGGATCACCTTGCGGATCTCCTCGATGGGCACATCGGTGCCCACCACGCCCAGCAGATTGGCAACGCGCACCGAATGGTTTCGTCTATCGAAGACCGGAGTTGAAACTGTCGTCACCAGCCGACGCTGGTACTCCGAATCGCGTCCCAATCCTCCGGACTTTCCCGCCACAAACACGGGACTCCAGTGAACCGGATGGTCCGCCTGGTACATGATCATCGGACGAGCCATCACCAAGGCATAATCGATCACTTTCCTGCGGGCTTCATCGTAATCATTGATTTGAACGAAGAATCCTTTGTTGGAGCAGGCCATGTCGTGGAGGTTACTCCGACTGCCGGAGTCACTGCCAATCAGGTAGGTGAAAATCCGAACTGGCATGTGTGGCCAGTTGTACTGCTTAATCACATCCTTGTGCGATTCCGAGGTGCTCTCCGTAATCAGCATAATTGCCTGGTTGCACTGACTTCCAGCTCCCGATTGGTTGTACTAAAATTGATACATTATTAATTTATGGGCTATTATAATTTACAACCATTTTACAACCTTGTGGAGCAAGCTGAAGGCGTACTCGAGACCTGCTGTGAAGTTAGCCGTGTCCTGTAGTTTGATGGCCTTGACCGCGGACTTGATTTCCTGAATATTGTCGGGCGTGGCGCGAACCATGCGGTCCTTGAAACAAGGAACCGGTGTTTTCACCACCTCCGAGAATGTGATGAGGTTCACGAAGTCGTCTTCGCCCAGGGTGTCCAGTATGTTGAAGGCGGTGGCCATGCCGAGGTCGAAGGACTTCTCCGTCATGCTCGACGAGGCATCCAAAAGAATCATCTAGTGTGAAAAGATATATTTATATTATTTATTTTAAGACTTAACATCTTAACCTGTCGCATAAAATGAGCTGCTCTTTTATAACTTAAGCCGTATTTTCCAAAACAAACAAATTAATCATAATGTTCTACCAAATGTTAAAGTTCTAAAAATAATTTAATGTTTGGGAATTTCGGCTACTGATTCATATTTTTTTCCAGTCTAGCTTGAGTTCAAAATTATAATCAATTTTCTATGTGTTTATTTTCTATTATTTGTTTGTTGGTGTATTTAGGAAAAACATTTATTTCTTTTTGTGGAAAAAATATACATATTAGTCGAGGAATCTAGTTGAAAGCTTAGCTAACTAATCTATCAAATAAGCTTATTTTGATTTCAAAAAAGCCATTAGTACATTCAAAGTATGATTCATTTTTGCATTATTTAATTATTTTCAACTGTATTTATGTATTTCAATAAAAAATGTGGTGTTTTTAAAAATGTTAAAAATATGCCATGACCATAAATGAACAACAGATACTCACAATGTCCTTGGGCGAGGAAGCGGCCTGCACGAACCAGTTGTGGGTGCGGAAGTCGTGGATGAGCTTGCTGCCCTTGGAGCCCTCGGGGGGCCAGGCGGTGCCCGGGAAGCGGCGCAGGAAGCCGGTGGAGGAGCCGAAGTATTGCCAGGAGAGTGCCGGATCTTGCTCTAAGTTGTTCTGGAAGAGCGGGTCCAGGTGGGCGCTCCACTGCAGCGCCGACTTCACGTCCGCTTCATCCAAGTCGACGCCGTGGGGGACCAGAATCGAGCTTAGACTGAGATTGACCGGCAGGCGCTCGAAGCGCCGCATGAACCGGATGTCCATGTGGCGTGCCCCGTCCGCCAGCTTGCCATCGGCATTATACTCGTTGATCCGCCGGGCATCGTAGTGCTGCTGCCCATTCATTGGCGATTCCGCCTGCCCCTGGCCCTCCAGTTCCGAGAGAGCCGCCTGCTCCGCGGAGTCCATCAGGCGCTGGAAGAGATTGCTTCGTTAACTCACTGCCATCAATCTGCTTAAATATTTCTCAAGGGGATGGGGAGTGGGAAGTGAGGGGGAGAGGGAGGGGGAGGGGGAGGGGTGTTGAATATCAGGGGAAAGTTGCAAAAGTTTCCCTGCTTTATGCAATTTATTCTCTTCGCTGCGACTTAAATTGCACAAAGCACTGGAGTTTGCTTTGCTTCTTTTTTTTTTCCTCCTTTTGGCAAACTTTTAGTTCGACTTTGGAGTCGTGTGTATGTGGAGTGTAATTCACAGTCCTGAGATATCTATATCTGCCCGGGAATAACGTGCACAGTGCTCGAAATCGTTAAATCGTTCTTAAGTATTTCAAATATGGTAAAAATATAAGTTTAACCCAACTTGTTTGATTGAATATCAGATTCCAATTTATTTCATAAGTCCGTTGGAGCATTCAACTCTACTAAATTCAGCTTTTGAAGGCTTTATAAACTTTATATTTACATTATTTTTTTATTGATTGATCTGTATTTTAAGCAGATTAACCTTGTTGTAATTATGGCTTAAACTATGTGTGGTTTTTGCTCGCCTACTCAAACACATTTCAATTTACGACCCAACCGGAATCCAACAAATCACTGGGATGCTGTTAGGGATCTTGCAAGTTGGCGCACAAACTATCTTCACAAATTTCGCTCCATGCCCACAGTATGCATTTTCATAAGACGCAAACAAGAACTTTAGCTGCAGCGAAATTAGATCCAGAGGGGGCAGGTCCTCGGTGGGTCCTCGCTTCTTCTTCCTCGAAGGAGGACAAACACCTGCAGTCATAGACACTGGGGATGTGCCACGCCCACTCTTGTTTGGAAAGGAGGGTGGCTGAAAACTGAGATACTGGAGAATGGAACTGGGTGAAAGCAGTGCACCTGAAGATGCTGCAATGACTGCCGAGCTACGAGCTAAGCTGCATGTGGGTGCATTGAAATAGTTCAACTACTTTTGCACAATGGGAACGCCGAGCAGGAAAATAGAATAAAAATGCCTCTGCCATGGGATTCTCTGGGGCATATAGACCCGACGTCCGAGTCTGAAGAAGATTTCAATGTAAATTGGCTGCCGTTGGGCGAACGCTGGTGCCACGGGAATGTGTCAGCGGCTTAGACAAATGGCAGATAAGGGGCGGCTTTTGGGGCAAGGAATGCTGCAGCTGCAGCTGGAGGGCGGTAAAGAAAGTTGTTCCAAGGTGGCTTCCGCCACTCCTACTCCTTCATCGGCGAACTCTCAAAGTTATTTGCACATTTTCCGAGAGCTCGAATTAGTTAAGGAGTCTTAAAGTTTGCCAAAAAAGGTGTTGAGTAGCGAGCTAGTTAAGGCATTAAATAATAAACACTGCCGAAAGTGAGTCAATAGAAAGGAGCACACTGGTGGTAAGTGAGCGACTGCTAACCAAAAAGGAAGCGGCAAGGAAGTTTCTATCGGATTTCAACCCCTTGGTCTTTGGTTTTCAGCTGCCGAAACTTGGTTGCCATGGCCCAAAGGCAGGTAAAAGTAGTTAAAGTTGCACCCAAGTGGTTATTCAATTTGGAGAAATCCGTTAGTGCAGAGACTACAAAGAGCAGAGGTTGCAAGTGACATAACCGCTTTTTTTAAGTTGAATAAGATAAGTGTATTCAGTAGAGTAGTTTATAAGAAATGGCTTAAAAAATCTTAAAGGTTAAACGGTTTCCACAACTCATTTACAAAGGTTTCAAAGATAATATTTTCTCTCTGCAGGCTACTTCGCACTACATAGTCCGTCATAAATGTGCGAAATGAAATTGCTTCATCAAAAATAACACCCCATAGGATGTTATTCATACGAGCCCCTGGTATTTGCAGAGGCCAACAATGTCATACCCATGTAAATAATTGCCAACATGCGTAGTCGCTTTGTCTAACACAACTCGGGATGGAACATGGCAAGAAGCGGCAGACAAAACATGGCCGTGTATTATGAGATATTTGTTGTACATTTTTCTACAATATTATGCACTTATGGGAAAGGTCGAGGCAGCGCGACAGCAAAAGAAATGCACAGGAAGGGGCCAAGAAAAGGAAAAAAAAAAAAAAAGAAGAAGGTGTCTGCGAGAAAAGGGTTGCATGGATGGATGGATGGATGGATGAGTTGGCTGGGTGGTTGGATGGTTTGGGGTTTGGGGTTTGGGGGTTTTCGACTTGGTCTTGGAGAACCGAGACCCTGAGCATTGCCCTCTCGCACACAATTCTCGGTTGACACCAGCTGGCTTCCCTGTCGCCCGTCTGTGTGCAGCTGTCGACATCTTAACATTCAAAAGCCAACAATGACAACGCCAACGATTTCTGCGAATGGGAATGGGTCTAGAAGACCGAGACTGCGATTCCGACTGCGACTGAGACAGCGACTGAAACTGAAACGGAGACGGAGACCGAGACCTGCTCAAATGTCAGCGGTGCAGTGTCTGGGGCTCTGCCGGAATTAGCAAAATGCAGCTACTTGCACGCAATTTGTTCGCAGAAGGATAAGGACTCTGGGCGTTGGCTGGAGCAACAGCCTGAAAGTGTGCTCTGCACAAAAAAATAAAGGATGGAGGCGAAGAAAGAAATAAAAAAAAAGCAAAGAACGAACCCGCGTTGACCATTTGCCAAGTGAAAAGCCAGAACCAGCCGAGTGATTTTCCATCCCCCTTTTTTCACATTCCTCTACTGGATAATGCAAGATGTGTGTTTAAGCTACGATTTTTGCCCGCCCTTCGACTTTTCGTTTCTTTTTTTTCACTGTTTTTTTTTAGCGATTTTTTTTCAGTCGCCCAATATATTTGCCATCTGAATGAACGTGCCAAATGTTGGAGCAATAAGTTCTGCAGTCGAAAAGGAAATTTATATTACGTTTTAATATGAGTTCAGCTAAATATTTGACGAGGTGAGTGTCCCTTTACATAAACGTCTGTATGTAACTCTCTGATTAGTATGAGTAGACATCAAGTGGCTGGCACCTGTTCTGGTATCTGTGCTTTTCACAGGTTCTTCTTTACTGACTAAATCTGTTATTTTTAGCCAGAAGTGTGACTGGTCTTAGGCGACAAATTCACACCCGCTGAATGCTGTTTACTTAAAGGATTATAAACGTTTTTTCCCCAACCAAAGTGCAACTTTGCATAGTGGTTGGATTTTACCCACAACATCGGTAGTAAGCAAAAACTGGAAAGTAATTATTTATGTTCTATCTGACAAAGGTCTGGGGTAAAAGGGGTAAAACAGAATATTAATACAAAAACTGTGTTCATAAATAGATGCTATTATCATTTGCTTGCATCTTAATGTCATTGATAATTAATCATCTAAAAGAATGTAATCTTAAATACCACTATGTCCAAAAGCGAAGTAATTTCAAGATAAGGAAATCTGACGCAACTGCAATTACAACGTTAAGTAAGTGTCAACAAAATTTTTGAAAATTCCATTCTTCCTCTTGTTTAGTGGAAGGCAAATGCTTTTAGTGTGAAGACATTTTTTGCCTCGATGTCGCATGTTTCTATTTAAAAAACCCGAACAGCTTTCCAATATACTCAATACATACACACACATCCTTGCTTTCTATCTAGCCATCCATCTCGTCCCCTCTCGCTCTGGCTGCTTCTGCCCTCTCGCTTGCACAATGTCAACGTCAAAGTGCAAGTGGCATTATGGCAAAGAAGTCAACAGCGAACAGGATGTGGGGGTGGGTTGGCCAAAAGGAAAACAAGTCGAGCAGAGACACTGAGACAAACTCTGCTAAATGAATAGTTCACTTAAACCACAAAAATTTATCTAAATATTTTTGAATTAAGAAATCATTTAAAAGTTCTTTTAATATAATATAATAAATCTGGTAAAGAATAAAAGGTGGTGTAATTTTCACAAAATGTCATACAAAATAAAGTGAGTTCGAATGGATTTAAATCAGCTAGGAGAGTACATTTCTATCCGGAAAAAGGACGAATTGTCAACACTGGTGGAAAGGAAAATGAATGGCAGCGAGTGCAGAGGCGTGTCCCTGCCTTTTTTGCCGCTATTAAATGCAATTTTAAAGTCAATTTTAGCTTGCAAACGAATGCAAATAAATGCTGTCAGCGGCAGGACACGATTAGTGGCAGTTGTGGGTGGGGTCCTTGAAGGACTCCGGTTGCAGTGCCAACAGCTCAGTTAAAACGGCATTGACAGGCGTTGATAGAAATCGAATTAGCAACGGCGATTGCCACACGTTGCTACATTTCCACCCGAGGGGGAACTGTGTACAAATTATTACGCATACGCCTCCGAACAAAGTGGAAAATGAGATGCGTGCATTTGTAGGTGTGTGTAGGTATGTATGTATGCGTATGTATGTGTGCGTATCTGTGGCATCTGCAGTTGCCTTTATGTTTACAGGCAATTAGCATTTTAATGCCGCACCAAACAAAAGGGCAACTGCAGGTGCCCAACCGAGTGATGCGAGGCCAATGGAGAACGACCGACGGGGTTGATCCGCAGCCAGGGGAAGGAATCGGGTGCACATACTCGTATGGGACTGAGTATGACGTTAATGTAGGTGGAGGAGGTGAAAATGTGGAGGGGAAAGGGCACAGCAGGTGCTCGTCTGGTCGCGCTCGAGTTGCTTTTCATTATTTTTCATGTTCGACATGAGCGCAAATTGTCGACGACAGGCAAAGGGGCCAGCGGGACGCCAAATGCTATAGCATACTATGCCATACTATATGTTATATAGCAGCAACCAGAGTCGGTGGAAAAAATTCCAAAGGATGCAGTTTTATAGAAATGAGTCTAAGAAAGTCACTTTGAACAAAAAGAACAACATGTTTTATATATGCGAACGTTTTTTTTTTATTATTCGTAAAAAAAAAATAATTGCACAAATCATTGTATGCAACGCAGAAACTTATTTATTTTATAATGGTTTTATTTTTTTATCTCAAAAACATGCAACTTAATTTTAATTCCATCTTGTGTGCGAATTCCTAAAGACAATATACACAACACAAGCAGCCGAGGAGAATACAAGTTGTTTTTGTATGATAAACAAAGAAACGAGTTTGTTTTTGATTTTGTTTTCTATTCTCTAATCCGACATGTGCGGGCTATAAAAATCACGCATACGCAATGTTGTCATCTGTCATCTGTTTATTAAATGACCGCGTGCGCTAAACACTCCACCTGCATTAGTCGTGTATCAACAAATTCCAATTAGTGTCAGTTGTGGTTGGTTAAGTGGATTTTATTGAATATTTTTTGGTGGTTTTTGCATTTTACACTTTATTGTTAGAGAATTTAGGTATTATAGTTGTTTGTGTTTGTCGATGTTATCCTTGCCTCCTAATACAGGCCAGATAAGATGATAGACCGTTAACGTTGATAACAATGTCGTTGCCATTGGTCGTAAATCCACCACCACATTCCTGAGGCGCAGCCAAACAAGAGCCAACAATCAGGCAGGCAATAAGAAGCAAGAAGACATAGATCTGCGATTCCATTTCGAGACAAGGTGATCGTTTCAATCGGCGGTGAGATACTGTCGATGCATTTCAGTTACGGTTCGAGTTATATGCAAAAAATTGTAAAACGGGAGAATCCCGCAATCGAATAATATGCGCAGGTTTTAATTACCAATCGAGACTCGGGGTTAGTCTCTCTTATCTCAAAGTCGTTGCTTACTGGAGGAATTTCCAACGTCATTTGACTTGTGCATCTCATTAACAAGTGAATTCAATTCACATGCTGGAAGTAATATTTTCTTTTAGTCAATGCCAAAGATCAGTCGCCAAACTCCCTCTCAGCGGCGCCTCTGGCCAAATAAGCTGGTCAGTCGACTTAAAGCTGAGAGGGCCGCGAAACCGGTATCATTTATAGAACAATTATGAAGTGGGCATTGCCCCAGAGACGCTGATAGAGATGCCATTGGTCTCCACATCTCTAAGTTAACGTTATTATATTTTTTTCTGCGAGGTTTGACTTTAGTTGTTTATGGGTCAATACTTGATTCACCTTTTAAAGAACTTATAATCACCCAACCAAAATTATTTTCTTCGCATGCTTCAACGATAATTTTGTTGCTGGCTGTTTTTGCCATGTCTGCTTTTTGTGTAGGTGGATTTCTAATGTATGGTGCCTTTTGTGCAAGGACCAAGAACTATCTGCTAATAAGAAGGAAAGCAAATCTGCATAATCTGTGCATGGTGAGTACCTTCCCTAATAAAACCTTGGCAGGCAATCAAAAAAATAGCAACAAACTACATTAATTTAATCGATAGCTTTAATGGTGAGTAAAACATGTAATTGATAAGGTGAGCTTTGTGGATTTTATTCAGTTTGTATTCCTAGAACTCGCGTCGAATTGTATATAATTTCATAATCAAATTAAATACACGAATCGAAGGCAAGTCGCAAGAGATTAAGAGAACAAGCTAGACTTAGAGCGCTATTGAATACAGCTATGATATTTTCTATACAAATCAGATTGATTAAATTTTTAATTTTTATTTGATTTTTCTAAATAATCTGTTTTTTATACTTCCAAATGGTACACTCAACACATTTTTATGATATTTAATTGGTAATTAAAAGGTCCCCTTAACATTGCTTTACCTCAAAAACTACGCTTTATGTAAAAAACGACTTATTTTTTAACTGCGTTTTAAATATCGAATGAAATTTAAAAGTATTGTTTAAAGTCCATTTCCTAAGATAAACACCTTGTACATTTTTTTAAAATAATTTTTTTTTTTTTTGTCTGTTGGTTTTTAATCTTATTGACGTAAGCAACACTATTTTATGTCTTTCGAAATTTATAAAAAAAAAAAAAAAAAATGCTATCTCACAAATAAATAAAATTAATAATTGGCATTATAAAAAAAAGACCAAATTTTTTTACTGTGTTTCAAGTATCTGATGAAATTTAAAAGTGTTATTTGCAGTTCATATCCCAATATTAATAACTATTATTTTTTTTAACAATATATATTAAATATTTAACAATTTATTTTTTTTGTCTTTGTTTTTGACCTTAAAGAGTATTTACGAAAGCACCATAAACATTAATTGCATTTGAAAGCTGCTATTCAGAGTTCTTTTAAAGTGAATTCCCGATAAGAATCATATTAATACATATATACGTGTTATTGTTTTTGGTCTTATCGCTTGAGTGTTCGGATGATCATTTATATACTCAACCATTGGCTCTCCAAAGCCAGTCTTTCATTTTCTTTACCAATGACAAGAATGTCTCGGTTGAAAGGAATACTTTCGATTCTGTGCCTTCTTCTGGCCACGTGGCAAGTCGAGTGCGCCTGTGGTGGAATGCAAAATTATCAGTGCGTGGCACGTCCAATGTGCAAAATTGAACTGGGTTATAAAACTCTTCAAGCCGGCAACATGGGATGCCCTTCCACGGCGGTCTGCTGTCCAGATACTCAAATAGTAAGAATAATAAAAAAAATAGAAATGAAAAGAAATTTCAAAAAATACTGTGCAAAAAATATCACTTTTAAAATAATTATATGTATTAATTAAAACGAATTTATTGTATATGAAAACATTTTACCGCGAGATATAAACATAAATGTGAAAAGTGTGTTGTTTTAACCTACTTGTAAATTATAGGATATACAAAAATTTCGTAAAAGAAAAGCTTATGTTTCTTTTTGCCTTTTTAGAAAAGCAATCCAGTTGTGCAAATCGATGAGGTATTAAATACCAATTGCGGACAACGTAACCCAAATGGAGCGACCTTTACTATTAAGGATTTACCAGGATTCGCCCAGGAGGCCGAGACGCCTTGGATGGTGGCTTTGCTTAGACGAGATCTCAGCTATAAGGCCGGTGGCGCCCTGATTGCCGATAACGTGGTTATCACAGCCGCCCACGTACTCGAAAACCTACATGAATACGATCTGATTGTCCGGGCTGGCGAATGGGACTTTCAAACCGACTCCGAGACCTATGGCCATGTAGACGTTGGCATCCGAAAGATTGTGCGTCATCCTGATGTGGATACATTTAGCGGGGCTAACAACTTGGCCATTCTGTTTCTTAACGACCGGATCAAACTGGCCAAGAACATTCAGCCCATTTGCTTGCCAAAAGAAGAACAGTATCCTGGTCGTCAATGCATCTTCACTGGCTGGGGACAGAAGGACTTTGGCCGTTATTCCAATATGAATCTGATGAAGAAGGTGGAGATGCCGGTGGTGTCAAACGATGTGTGCCAACGAACGATGCGCGATTTTTATGGCGACGAGTTCGAGCTCCACAACAGTCTGATGTGTGCCGGCGGAGAGGAGGGCAAGGATTCCTGCCAAGGCGACGGAGGATCCCCGCTGGCCTGTCCACTGTCGAGCGATCCCACCCGCTATGAACTGGCCGGAGTTGTTAACTTCGGCGTCGGATGCGGAGAAAGAGGATATCCCGGTGCTTACACAAGTATTGCGAAGCTCAAAAGCTGGATAATACAGGAGAGAGCTAAATATAATGATCCTAACGTGATCCATCGTCCACCGGTCGGTCCTGCGAATCGGGGAGCACGAGACGTTCAACCTTTTCAAAATGGTAATTTTGCATATATAGAACCGAGAACCGAGACAAGTCCTGTTTGGCCAATCCCACCACAATTACCTCCCAACCAAAATCAGAATAGCAGAGAACTTTGGCATAAGGCTTTCATTAATTCCGGACCGAATGTCAACAATGGAAATGTCGAACCTCCCCGATATGATTCCCAACCGAAACCGAACACACAGAACACAAACAATTTTAACGATCCGCACAATAGATTCAATCCAAGCCAAGGTCAACAAGACAATCAATATGGCGTTGGAGGACGACCAAATATTAATTTCCATATGGTTCCTTCCCGTCCCTCTACGTCCCACGTTTCCCTGTGGCCAAGCCAAAATTTCCAAACGACGCCGATCCCCCAGAGACAGTACCCGATGCCACCCTTTATCCCACCAAATAGTGTTCAAGTGCAACCAAGTTGGCCCACACCGACATTCGGACAACAGGTAAATCAAAATGGCTTTGGGAGACAGCAAGAAAACCATGGTTGGAACTTGGGACCACAGAATTCCCCACCAAACGGTGGGAATTGGCCACAGTCCTTTAGGCAAACACAACGATTCCCTCCAAATGCTGGTGAAAATCAACCAAGCCTTTTCCCCAACCAACCCGTTCCTTTCCCTGGGCGACTGGATCAGTTTAATCAGATTACAACACCACGATCAAATGTTCTAGAAGGTGGGAATGGGGCACAGTCCTTTGGGCAAACACAACGATTCCCTCCAAATGGTTTTCAAAATCAACCAAGCTATTTCCCCAACCAACACGTTCCTTTCCCTTCCGGGCGACTGGATCAGTTTAATCAGATTACAACACCACGACCAACTGTTCCAGAAGAGGTCACTACAGAAAATCAAGAAGTGTTCTCTACTACATTAGGTTTCGACGAAGATTAAACATACAATTTCAAATCAGATGTTGACTTTGGCAGTCAACTACCAATACTATTTTACTTCTTTAAAAATGTATAAAAATAATAAATAAACTTAAAATAATTCTCAGAAATATTATAAAATAGAATATTAACTTCTTTTGAATTGGGAATACTATTTTTCTTCTTTCAAAATGTATAAAAATAATAAATAAACTTAAAATAATTCTCACAAATATTAAAAAATGAAATATTGACTTGTTTTGAATTGGGAAAAAAATCAGGAGAAATTGATTACGTTTATCAGTAACCTAGTGTACATCATTAGCCCGATGGGCTTGTGGCAAATTACCGGGCCAGCGATTTGTTCCCATTCATACACAGGACACAGTGGACAGCCGCGGGGACCGCAGAAAAGGGGAACAGGATTGCAGGGATGGCGGAGGACTGTCGTCCTTTTCCAGGAGCGGAACTTCGGACCCGCGACATCGCTCGGCACGCACACGCAGCAGCTGCGGGCGCCATCAAAAACTTGTGCTTGTGGCGGGCGCACTTTAATTTCAATTTGGCGCCGACCTCCGCAACGCCACCAGCAGCACCACCACCAGCACCAGTACCACCTCCATCGGCAACCCACCAGCACCACCGCAATGAGACTAGCCCCACGGCAATTTATTGTTTTCCACTTTACGCCTGTGTCCCACTGGAGACGGTGTCCTGTCCGCGTGTTATTGTTTTGTTGTGTTTTTTAGTGCCGTCCTCAAATTCAAGAGTTCTCCCGCCACCGCGATTCCCTTGGGCTTTTTGAGGGATTGAGCCACTTGTCGATTGTAGGCAAATCAGAGGAGCCAGCAGTTTGGGGATGGTACATTGGAAAAAATAAAACAATTTAACCTTTATTTATCTATATTATCTGCTGAATTTTGATTTACCAAGCCTCGATCATTGCACCTAATATCTCAAAGTTTAATCACAATAAATGACAATTTCAAAACTGTTTCCCGTTTGTGTAAGTGTAAAAGGGCAGGGACGGGGAAGGAGTCAGGAATATTCACTTACCATGACAGCATTGCGCTTGAAATCCATAAAGTTCTTCACCTCGGCGGCCAATTCCCGCAGCAGGATAATGCCATCCTTGCGCTTCACTTCGACGTCGTTGTCCTTGAAGCGCTGCAAATGAAAAACCCAAAATCATCAGATACACAATTCTCAGTACATTCAACGGCCATAAACTATAAAGCTGATGGGCGAAGGTTCGCGAACACAAAAAAGGGTTAAGGGGCCATAAAACTTTTCCGCTTTCTTATTGTCCAACATAAAACGCTGATGTACTTTTGAAACGGTTCGTGGCAGAGAATTGGGCAATTCGAAGGAGTTTCTATGGCTGCAGGCCAGGCTAAAATTGTTGTTAAATTGATTTTGATGTATCTTATTAATTTAATTAGGTTTTCATTAGCTAAACGCGCGGTTTGCTTCCATTTCGCTAAAAGCTTTTATGGCATGAACGTGGCTAGTGCCGCTGGTCATTAAATTGAATGAAAACGGATTGAGTACTTAAATTGGCTCCTCGCTTGCTTTTAATTTAGTTGGTTTCAGTAACCGAAGGCACTGGGAAAATACATTGGTTTTAAAGGTTTTATGCTATGCAAATACTTCAATTAAATTAAGATTTTGCTTAAGATTAATTAAAGATTTATTTGATTTGACCATTAAAGTTTCCCTTGTTGGATTATCAGACCCTTGAGATCTGGAATAACATATTACACGGCCTATAAAATAAATATAAAAGATAAGGCTTAAGGAATTGCACATAATATGTGAAGAGGAAGACTCTCACGACTGCGACAAATAAGTCTAATTAAATTTCACATTTCATTGCACTTATCCCCAAAGGCGCACATACACACACACACACAAACACACACAAACACACACATACACACAATTTCGCAACAGCAAGTTCTCCTAACTGAAGTGAGACACGCACACATTCTTGTTTCAGATTGAAGCAGAGACACGCATTTAGTGGCCAAGTTAATGGCCTCAGCGTTTTGTCCTGATTTTTCCCACCAGTCACTCACACACTCACACTCACAGTCACACTCACAGTCACACTCACACTCACACCAGCACACGCACACGAAGATGCCCTGTTCGCCATTATAATGATTTTTCTATTGAACGTGTTGTCATTTGTTTTAATGGAAAATTCCGATGAGTTTTCTTCTCTGTTCTTTCTTCCGATAAATTCACATAGTCATAATCGAAGGAGCGGCAGGCAGATGGAAAAGCGAAATGGGACTCGCAAGCAAATGCATTTTATGACTTTTTCATGCATTTAAGTGCCACAAATTAGCCATTTGGAAATGGAGTTATATGGGGGCCTGGACACGCCCATTTCAAATTGTCACTTTTCAAACAAACTGTCAGTTGAATTATATTTTCGCTGCAACGTTAAGAGAAAGAGGAGGAGAAAGCAATGGGCCTGTGTCTGTGTGTGTGTGTGTGCTCCTGTACATGTCTCCAGCGAATTAATTAGAAAACTTTTCTTAACTGATTCAGTGCCAGCAGCAGCAGTGGAGAAACTGCTTAAAAACAGAAGAATATGCCTGGCTATGAATGCAAGTTCCCAAAAAAAAAAAGGATTCTTAATTATAAAAGAAAATATTCAAATTAAATAAGAAAATAAATTATTTTGAACTAAGGCCAGGTTTTCATGGTTAATCAACAAACAAAATTATTGAGGTACTTTATCCACACTCACTACACTTTTTCTTTGGGTGTAGTTGTAGGTGTGTTTGTGTATAAAGCGGCTCTCACACACACGTTGCAAATATTTGTGGCCTCAGCCAAAATCCAACCATGTACCATTTGTGTGCTTGTGTGTGACCACAGAACTAAAACTGCAGAGAGAAGCCTCTTTGAGGCATTCATTAGTTGGCTAAAGAAAATGTCGCCCACACAAGCAAGTAAAAAAGAAGGTATTACTGGCAGAAGGAGTTTTGTCTTACTTGTTATCCCACTGAGGATTATACGTTCTACATTTATAAAGACTTAACATTCAACTACTCCTAAATGGAATACTAGTACTTTCCTTAGTTTCAGATGATTCATTTATTATCATAACGATTTTAAAATCAGTTTGGCCTAAAAAGTAAAAGTAAAAGTAAAAGAGCATTTTATGTTTTCTTAGGAGCTAAATTGAGCCAATTTCCAGGGCTCACTTTTTTCACAAGTGCTCGGTCCGCGAAAGTTTTCCTCCAAAAATGATTTATAGCTGTTGAAAAACCATTAGCAAACTATTGGCAAATCAAAGCATTGGTTAAAAAAAGAGCAAAGGAAAACTCGAAGAGGCACGGGCGATGGAAAATGCATTGAAAATTAAAAGAATGTCAAGCAAGCAGCGGCAGCGTTACAATAAGAATCAATGAGAAAAACAAAAGCAAAAAAAATTCTATATTCTATATGTATATCTGCGGGGGCTTGCAAGATATTAGCCACGGATGTAGGGGCCACGCCCACAAAAACCTCACCCAACTTTCATGCGATGGCAACATTTTATAAAGCAATTTCCACGCGAGCAACATCGAAATGCAATGCACGCCTGAAGGACGCACGTGTGTATGTGTGTGTGGGTCTCTGTGTGTGTGTGTGAGAGTGTCCTGCCGCGATGGAGAGTTTCCAGAGGGGAGAAGGGGGTGTGGGGGGTGGAGGCAAAAAACTATATACAATATGTATACAATATGGGTAGCACTCGAAGAGCGAGAGCAGCAGAAGCAGCAGCACAGTAGCAGCCATAGAAAGTTTTTCATTTTGCGGTTGACTCTGGAATTCGAAAATGTTGCGCAAGGAGGAACCCTCCGGCGGACCTCTGCCACTCCTGCACTCCTGCACTCCTGCACCACCACCACCTCCACCCTCCTTTACCCACTTTACACCACCACCCACTGACGGGTGCGTATGCAGCTGGCGAAGAAGAACTTAAACTGGAGCAAGGACATCCGAAGGGGCGGCGCTGTGAATAAGGAGCATTCCTGAGCTTTGGCTTCTGCTCCTGTTGAATTCCAGCTCAAGCTAAGCAGCTTACGCACGCAGCTGCAGATGCAACAGCAGCAGCACCGGCTACCTGAGCCAGCACTCTAACATGAAACAAATGCAAATTTGTAAATTCTTTTTGCACTGCTACAAAACACAAAGTTACAGTCTTATAAAACAAAATTAATACAAATTAACGGTCCTTAATAAATCTAAATAAAACATGGTGCTCATTGTTTAAAGGTGAAACAAATATAATACCTCCAAACCTCAAATTTGTATAAATTCTTTTCTAGAAACAATAAATTCTTAGAACTCTCAGTTCATTTCCTTATTGCTCCGAAATATCATAATTACTTGAAAGAAGTAAATTCGTGGAAATCAAGTGGGATATTCCTTGAAAGGTAATTACTTATACTTTATGGTTTCTGCGGGCTTAAAATTCTGCTGCAACTAGAAAAAAATCTTAAGGCTTAACTTGAAATCAGTTTTGTTTTTATGAGAGAAGAATTATTGTATTTAACATTATTCAAATGTTTTAATCGCTCGAATTAATATTATTGATAATTGTTAGTTTCACTTTTTTTTCAGTGCAGTTGTAGTGCTGGGTATATTGACTTTCGTCCTGGCTTCCTCCTGTCTCAGTTATAAGGCGCTCAAGTGCCACGGCGAGCTCAGAAACCGGAGCAACTCTTTGGTCGGGTTCGGCATTTTGTGGGCTGTCCTGGAAATGCGCTAATTAGATTTTAATGAAGATGTCGCTGTCACCCTTCCACCCCTTCTACCTCAGCCCCTTGACAGTCTTGTGCCCCTTCCCATTGGAAAAGCGAGCAACAATGTCTCGCATCAACGCGCATGTTTCCCAGTTCACTGAAGCAGAGATTTCCTTTGCTAATTTCTTCGCACAGCAGATTTTTATTTTCCTCCTCCAATATTAAAGTTTGTAGTTTTTGCTTTCTGTCAGAGTTTGTTGATTTTTTGTTCATCCGAATGGATAAACTCTGTTTTTTTTCGTAAAACTGCATTAAAGTTTTAATTAGCATGTTTTGCTTCTTTTTTATTGCTAGGTAAAAAGTTAGTTCATTCCGCCAGTTATAATTGGCTTATAAAGGACCTTTTGCGTTGAGTGAAAAATGGTTCAAAAAAGCAGTGTTGCCAAGCAAGATTCCTGTTTTGCATTTAATTTAAATATATTTTTTACGTTTTTAATAGTCTAGTTATAACAAACAACACAAAAAAATTCTTGAAAAGTGGCCAAACATGAAGATGTTGGCAGACCAGCAGTATTTAATTATTCTATACTAAATTAAGCAAATAATCCTGAGGGAGTTGAGTCATCCTACCTGGCATTTGCTGCGTCCATTTAATGGACAAACCCCCGGGGATTTGATGAAATTAAATATTTAATTTGCTTTATACTTTCATTAAGAACCAGCCACGCCCCCAGAAGTCTCCGCCCCACTTAACATTTGTTTGCCGGCAGCTGTATGTCATGCTCGCATTTTCGCCACCAAACGACAACGACAGACTTAAATATTTGCATAGACAAGTCCTCTCGCTATACACAAACGTACATCTGCGCATAAACTACATATATTTACATATATATATATATGTACAAATATACATATTTATATGCTTGGAGAGGATCAAGGACTGAATGCATTTTGGACCCCACAAAAGCCAGTGGAGTAGCCCCATGAAGGAGTTGGTTGGTCTGCCCTTGGCCATTTGAGGGGGAGGGGGAATGGGGAAAGGGGATTTCCCCGCCCCCTTAAGTGCGTTGCCGAGTCGTCGCCTTGATTTACGATTAGTCTCTTCGCAGTCCGCAACACTGTTCGCCACACACTTAGTTAGCCAAACACACAAAACCAACTCGATCTCTCTGGCCCACGCCACCCCCTCCCCTCCCCTCCCCCTCTCCCGCCCACATTTTAGCCACAAGGCCCTTAACAAGGCCTTTGTATTTGTCACCAGGCCCGGGAAACGGAGCAGAATCGCCGCTTGGTGATGTGTAGTTGGTATCAGTGGAGTGGGCAACCACTTTCCCAAACAAATGACCAGCAATCTGCAGTTTGGATGGCAGTCTCTGCCCACGAAAAAATTATAATTGCTTAGGCACCGAACACAAGCAGATTCCAACTCCTCATGGACCAAAAGAACAGACTTTTTAGCAGACCACCACTTCAAATCAATAGGAATATTTAAACTATTAATGATTGTTAAACTAAAATAATTATCTGCTCGAAATAAAACATTTTGGCACATTTTTCAATTTCATTTTAAGCATTGCTATTGCTTAAAAAAATGGTACATGAATTTTGCCTTACTAGCTTTTATTACCTGAAAAACATTAAATGTTTTTTGCTGTTTTCAAATATTTAGTTCATTGTAATTCCTCTATGAACATGAACTCATATTTCAGATGGTTTACTTTTACCTTCAATGCCAAGAATAAGCTGGCAACGGCAGAAAACAGTAATTTGCATGCCACTTACAGAGGAAGCCGACTACGAAAATGAAATAGAGGATGGGAAAATGGGGAAATGGTGAGGGAAAGCGAAGGCTGGACGCTAAAGAAAAACGACAGCACGCGCCAGTTTTGTTTTCTTATATTGTTCGCTGTTAAAAAGTTTTGTATTACGTGCAAAATGAGAGCACGCTTAAATTTATTTGCCTGCGAGGCGAGTTGAGAGCAAGAAGGTAATTTTTACTTGAATTTGACCCATATTTCACTGCAACTGAGGGCCCAGATGTTTGACAATGATCACCAACACCGTTAGCTGCACATCATCATTTGGCATAATGGCACAACCAGACAACTCCTGTCGTTTTGTCCATTTGTGTTGCCGACATGTCGTTAAAACCTTTTCGGCTCGGTCACTTTTGACACAATTTCACATTTTAATTTTCGATAAACACTAAGTTCAAGAAAACCTTACCAAATATTATAAAAAAATAGGGAACACGAATTTGTGTTTTTAATAAAACAAAGAAAACTTTTAAATTGGGTTTGCTGATTACGAATATTTGTATATGTACATATTCATATATACAATCTAAATTATAATACATATATAACAGATTGATAACGGTTAATAGAACACTTATTGGGAATTCCATTCCGTACTCACATAATCAGTTTTAATTCCTAGAAAAGTCATTAACAAGGTGACTCATTCAACCTTATCTTTATGCGCCAATAAAAACATCGATTGTACTCAAATTTATAAAGACGAATTGTTCTTTATACACAGTGTATGTTGTATATGTACAGTGTATTCTTTCGAAGAACATATTTCATGGTTTAGGAGGAATACTTTTTTAGCTAGTCAGCGCTTAACGCTTTCGAGCCAGAAGCATACGGAAAATAAAATAAATGAATATGCGCCACGCACAGGCATTCCGCACCCACACACTCTCACCCACCGCATATCCTTGTGCTTCTCACTCTCTCTCTCTCTGCCTCCATCTCTCTCCCTCTCTGTCTGTTCCTCATCCGTGGCAGCCATTTTGTCTTCGGGTTGTTGTTGTCCTCGCTGTTCCTGCTGTCCTGCGACGCCTTTCGCATAACTGAACGTGTGCGCTGCATTTGTTTTACATTTTATTATGCTACTTTAAAATGCCAAACGGAAAAAGCAGCTACCCAAAATAGCAAAAAAAAAACAGAAAAAAAGAAAGCAGCAACAGCAGCAAAACATGGCAAAAAAGCAAATAAATGCGATGAAGGCGAAGCTGGTAGGCAGACCACACCCACAGCATTGTCCGCTTTCCTTTTTAATTTACTTTTTCCCTTTTTTTATATTGCATAAACATTTTTTGAAGGACAACAAGAACAACCAAAAATTGTGTCAGCTAAAAACCCACAAAACGATAACGTATGGGGAGTAATCTAGACGTATTTAAATTTGACAGCCTTTATATATTTTAATATTTCTTTAGAACTGATAATGTGGACATAAAAAATTGTATTACCGAAGTTCAAAGATTTTAATATATAATACCTGCTCATTCGTTAACAGACTTTCGATTTAATTTGAATTAAAGCTCGGACAAATAAGCATGTGCCAATTGTGGATGTTATTAATTGTTCTATTCGCTTTGTCTTTACTCTGTTGCGGGGAAAATAGTGAAGGCGATGAGGAAATTGAACAGGTTCGAATCCATTTCCAATTTTGTAATCATTTTGCAATATATAATATAACTTATTCCAGCCGAAATGCGGGATGACTTCACCGTTTCCCTTGGATTTGGTTGTAAAAACTACTGAAGGTCAAGCAAAGCCTGGGGAATTCCCCTGGACCATAGCCTTGATCTCTAATGAAACATTTATTGGTGGTGGATCACTAATTGCTCCAAATATTGTGCTCACAGCTGCCCACATCGTCCTAAATAAGTCAGCACAGGATATTATTGTGAGTGCCGGCGAGTGGGAATACGGAAAAGCTTTAGAACAATACCCATTTGAAGAGGCGAATGTGGTGAAAATTGTGAGCCATGAGAAGTTTCATTACAAAACGGGAACCAACAACTTGGCTCTCCTCTTTCTCGATCAGGAATATATGATAACCTATCGTATTAACACGATCTGTTTGCCCAGAAAGAACTGGGCATCGAATGACAGTCGCTGCTTTGTGGCTGGCTGGGGCAAGAATGGATTCAGGGATCATTATTATCCAACCGTACTGAAGAAAGTAGAAATGCCGATCGTGCCCTGGTACACTTGCCAGGATCAGCTGCGAAAAACAAGGCTGGGCAGCAGGTATGTGTTGCCCGCAGGATTAATTTGTGCCGGTGGCGAAGAGAACATTGATTCCTGCACCGGCGATGGCGGTGGCGCACTTTTCTGTCCAATGGCCGAAGACCCCCAGCGATTTGAGCAGATTGGCATTGTTAACTGGGGCATTGGCTGTAAGCAAAAAGACGTACCCGGTGTTTATACTTATCTGCCCGACTTTAGGCAATGGATTGATCAACAAATTGAAGCCAATCAATTCTTAAACGATATTATAAATGAATAAGCACAAATCATAAAAAATCTACATATTTTCAATCTAAACACAGAAACAAAATATGTATGTACACAGAGCTTTTTGTTTTTCTTTAACCAAATAAATTCGATTCTTATACTCCGTGTTTTTAAATGCCAAAAAGCTGCAAATCCTCTTTTCCAGGGTGGCAATAATTTTATAAAACACACTATTTATTGGCCAAACCATCGGAGGTTGATGCCGAAGAGAAAGGCGTTAACAAGGGCCGCACTCATATAATTACAAAAACACACAAACAAACAAGCCGACGGAAGGACAGATCAACCTTCGTACGCACAAAAGGGTATGATATAATGTTTAAAAAGCACACACGTATACAGACTATTTCCGTCAGGCGAACTGCGCGGCGTATACTTGATATTTAATTCAATCTGGGCGTAGGTTTTCATTTTTTGCCGTTGTAAGCGACGTGCGCTTTAAATTAACACAAACAAACGTTGTCAGCGACAGCAGCACCCACACACAGACGCACACCCCAACACACACCAACACTACCGACAACAACGATGCGATAAACACACACACACATATACACACACACGGCCAACAGTAAAGCAACAGCAACAAGGCACTTGACAATTACAGACTCAATGACAGTCACAGCCAGCAAATTTATTTGCATTTTAGCTGCCTTTCTGGCTCCGAATCCTGTCGCTGCCTCACGTCCTCATCCCCCTCGTCCCGCCAGGATCCTTGCTCCTGCTCCTCTCCACGCGTTTCTCTGTATAATTTGCCTGATATTTATACCCTTTAAAAAGAGCTGTCAGCAAATGATCAGTGTAATGTCCATTCATTATTCAAATAATAGTAATTTATTATTAAAAATGCAGATAAGACTAACTGATATTATTGCAAAAATCTTTTTTATTTCTAATTTTTGTTTTTTTTTTTAAATTGAATTCAAAAAGAACCTAATGAAACCAATTTTTGCAAATTGTTCATCTCAGGCTTAATAACATTACTTGGTTTAAATTATTTAAAAAATTTTATTTCCTTATTTAAATTTGTTATTCCTTTTATTTTTTGTTTATATGGGATGTGTTAATATGGGATATATTTTTTGTAAATTTAATACATACTTCCTCTATCATTTAATATACATATGGTTTTCAGCAGTGCCCTATCAGTAGTAAGAAGCACAAATTAAACGACAATCCCCTCACTTTAAAGGGTATTTAAAAGCCCGGCCAGTTGTTTATGTAAATCCCCATAAACGCAATTCTCTCGCACATAATCACAATGTACACACTCGCCCAATAAAACCAGCCCACTAGCTCATGCACGTCTGATTAAACGCGGAATACGCGACTCAATGAAGAGGGGGCTGAATACTCGCGGATGCCTTGGAAGCCACCATCTTTCACCGCAGGCCACGCAGTCAACCAAATCCAAACACAGCCATGCTTATTAACATAGATAGCACCCAGGCACATACTTATAGCAGCCCGCTTAACCCACGTTGCCCCCCCAATTAGCCTTATTTGTGTTTAAATTGCATTAGGGCCAACAAACAAACAGGCGGCGAGCCAAATAAGAACGTCAAAGAAAAACACGAAAAATTGACGCATTTGCTTGTTAAGCTTCCACTAAGCTGAACCATTCAAAGCTTTTATCGATAAATTCTCTCTTATCGATAAGTTCAACTAAGTGCCCGTAGGGCTTAAGTGTATTTGTTTCGACTAAACCAAGCCAGACAATCGAAGCCATTAGCCAACGCGATTGGCCATACCCACATGTCAGGATTATCAGATACATATGTCCATATTATCACTCGCATCGAAAATAGCGTACTTATTGTTTGTCTAGCCATTTGACTGCCGTAATTACTTACACTTTTGATCTCGTTCATTTTGGTAAATTGCCGTCCGAACTCCCACAAGTCAACGCCAAACTTCAAGGCCCAATTGCGAACCCTGAAAATATTAAAATAATATGAATAATTTGCTTTATAGTAGGGTATAAATTTAGTTGAAAATAAATTTGAGGCAATAAAAAAACTTTTATTGATGTTATATTTTCAATTCCTTTTTTACAAGTTTCAATTCGGTCTTATAATTATAAAATATATGTTTCAGACATTATTGTCTATTATTATTTAAATTTTTATTGGCAAAATTGTTTAATTTCAAACAGATAAGCTATCAAAGTTATTGACCTTGTGCCATTTGGGATTTCCACAAATTCGTATTAATGCGATTCATAGAGCGCACAAGTTTCAAACTAAAGAACAGAAGAGGTTCTGCTTAATTTATGACATTTGTTTGTATAAAGCATTTTCGGCTGAATTTTTACGTCTTTAATGTTAATAATTATCGCTCTTTATTATATCGTTAAATATTTTTTAAGCCATTACCCGCAATACCAGTGCCATTCATCGACACGTGGCTGATTAAAAATCAATTAAAATCGATTTAAAATTGCGCATACATTATTTCCATCTCATTACGTATACGCATACAAAACTCTCATTAAGCAATAACTGGCTGTTGGCGAAGAGAACACAGGCATTATAACTAAAGAAAACATACTTTGCGAAAATATTTCTTCAATATTTGCTAATAACTTTTCAAGCAAGAAAAAAAGCTAAATCAACTATTTTGCAGGACCCGGCTAAAGTTCAACTCTCTTGAGAAACATCCAAGGAAGCGGCAAAACTCATTACATAAAACTGAGGAGAAAGGGAAGGGAGAAGTCTCAAGAGTCATGGGATAACAGCAGGACCAACAGCCAACTATTGTGAAAACATTTGCCAAACATTTATAATCTAAACGCGAAAGTCAAAAGCAAAACAAAAGCAGCTCAACGAGTGCTTATAAAACAAAACCTGGGAATGGGGATAGAGTGACTGAAGCAGCAGCAAATTGAAAATAAAGCATGGGAACCCACAAAAAAAAATTATATACAAAAAAAGTACGAGCAAAAGAACAACCAAAAAACAAAGTCAAGTTGAGACTGAGACTGAGTAAAACCTTGCAGAATAATGCCCCCAAAAATATTTGCACAATTTTATGGCATTATCTGCAATATCAATACGCTGGCACAGAGGGAGGTGAAGCCAAGGAAGCTTCAACTCGGGCACCAGTAACCGCAGCAACGTTGCGTATACGCAATGTTGATTATGTTGAACCGGCGGCGAGCCACCGAACGAAGCCAAAGACAAGGACGTAGCTCCTCTGCCATCTAGATACAAAATAAGCGCATGTTTATATGCTCTGGCCAACAATGGAGGAGAGAGGAGGTGGCTGGGGAAAAACGGAGAGCAGATTGCGAGGAAAGGAAGTGCAACTGCAGTCAAGCGACTACAGACAAAGTTTTATGGCTCGGGCGATGCCAAAAATGAATTTAAATTATATGAAAATTGTATTATAAACGGAAACTCCGGGGAGGCCAGAACTCCCCGCATCTGTGTGGCCCGCAGCAATGAAAGCGTAAACAATGAAGCGAAATAAAGTGGCCAACAAAGTGATTGAAATTGGATAATGCTGATGGCTGGCAACAACAAAGAGATGGTGAAATGATGGCGGGTTCAAGTGATGATGATTAAATGCTAGCCACGCCATGTAAGGGTTAAATAAGGCGTCCGAGATTGGTGGTTGATTGTCCATGAGTTCAATTTAATGCAATAAAAATTTTATTGAAGTAGGGTTGTGCATTTATATTAAAAGCTGCCATAGTGGGTTTTCTTTTACTCAATGTACTTTGAGTATTGACGATTTTATTTGAGCTGCGTTGTAAAAGATAAATTAAGTTCTCTAGGATAAAGAATTGATTTTAAAAAATAAATTATTAGATTTTGTTCTTTTTTCTAACTGCCTTTTCAGCTGGGATGCAAAACGAAATTCTGGTTTAAAACATTCTTTATTCTACTTTAGTTTGGTGCTATCAAAAATATGCTAGAAACGCCATTCAGTTCATGTGGAAAATATCCACATACTATATACAGAAAGTAGGGGAACAATGCATACTCTATACACACAACCAATAAAACGAGAAAAAACATTGAGAATCGGGTCCAAAGCAATGAAAGGCCATCAACGTCATCTTCTTGGCCTGAAGTAGAAGAGTTTTTTTTTCGATTCTTTGCACTCTTCCTGCTGCCTGTGGCCAGAAAAATAAAAGGACACATTTTGTTTTACACACAGAACGGGGTTTCCTTTTTGTGTTTTTTTTTTTTTTTTTTGCTGCTTGGCCAGAAACTTGACAATGGCTAAAACTATGTATCTGTGGGCATGAGGCGAGTACTCAGGTGTACTCGTAGTGACTTTCTATTCTGTCTCAGCTTTTTGAGCACGAAGCAACCACGTATGTCATGCTCAAGTACCATATACACCTAAAGCCATCGAACCAGTTTCGTTCCATTGCATTTTTTCCACTGTTGTTCTCCTCGGTCGTTTCACGTTTGTCTTTGCAGTTTTTCACTTTTCTCGGGGGCGGCAAGTTGATGTTGAGGCAGGTGGAAATAGGCTGTTGGTTGGTAGTCGGCCCACAGAGTAGGTCAATGGGTTTTTGCCATTTTGCATCATTGAAATTGAAATGAGTCCCCTTCTGACGCTGCCAGCAGACTTGAATGCGCAATCACAAGAGCGCACTTCACTGCGCCCTCGGCAAGTGGAGGAGTATTGAAATCTTAGAGCAAATACACTGCAGCAATCTTAAATTCAATTCCATTGAAGGGTTTGTTGTTCCAAAACATTCAAGTTCACAGAAATCCGTTGACAAATAAATTACAGTGATAGATCTTTAAACCCATCCACGAATCTATAATTTTTTAAATTAATAGAAATTATTTTATTTGAAACTTTACTATATATGAAAAGGTTCATAAATGTCTTTAACATTTACATTTAAATCTACTTTTAATCTAGTTTCTTTGTCCTCTTTGCTTGAAGTTCTGATGAAGTTCACGTTTGAAAATAATCTTTTTTTTTTAAACATTTAAATCATTTGTTGTTTTTAGCAGTAGCACCACGCGTGTTTCTTAAGCCCACTCGTGCTAATTAATTTGTTGTGTTGCACTCTAATTCAAAATCCACTTAAATAAAACCAAGGAGGAATTACAGCTGGTGGTAGGTGGAAAATAAAAACCAAAATAATGCGCCAGACGAAGCACTGCTGTCGCTTCTGTTTGTGTCTCTGGCTCAACTTCTGCTTAATGCACTTTCACTGTCATTTGTCATAAGTAGTTAGTGCTCTGCTGGCTGCCACTTTGTTGATTTTGTTTTATTTATTCACTTAAGCTGCCCCCGGTAATTAGATCTGCCACGCCCAAGTGAAAAACTGCTCACTGCTTCGAATGCAAAATTGTTTTAAGCAGCAATTGTGAAGGGTTTGCTGTTCCAAAAAATTCAAGTTCAATCGGTTGATAAATAAATTACAGTGATAGATCTTTAAACCCATCCACGAATCTATAATTTTTTAAATTAATAGAAATTATTTTATTTGAAACTTTACTATATATGAAAAGGTTCATAAATGTCTTTAACATTTACATTTAAATCTACTTTTAATCTAGTTTCTTTGTCCTCTTTGCTTGAAGTTCTGATGAAGTTCACGTTTGAAAATAATCTTTTTTTTTTAAACATTTAAATCATTTGTTGTTTTTAGCAGTAGCACCACGCGTGTTTCTTAAGCCCACTCGTGCTAATTAATTTGTTGTGTTGCACTCTAATTCAAAATCCACTTAAATAAAACCAAGGAGGAATTACAGCTGGTGGTAGGTGGAAAATAAAAACCAAAATAATGCGCCAGACGAAGCACTGCTGTCGCTTCTGTTTGTGTCTCTGGCTCAACTTCTGCTTAATGCACTTTCACTGTCATTTGTCATAAGTAGTTAGTGCTCTGCTGGCTGCCACTTTGTTGATTTTGTTTTATTTATTCACTTAAGCTGCCCCCGGTAATTAGATCTGCCACGCCCAAGTGAAAAACTGCTCACTGCTTCGAATGCAAAATTGTTTTAAGCAGCAATTGTGCCAGTTGCAGATCCAGCAAAAATAGCAACACGATTAAAAAAGGAAGGAGAAAGTTCAAGCCCGGCAACATTCTATTTTCGTCTAGAGTTAAATTCACTCAAGAATAAAAATTAAAAACTTGTGCATAAAAGAAGACCTTCGGTTCGATGAATTTTCAACCGAGTTGTTTGAGGTCCTTAATCGATCGCTCATCTGCAGGCCGTGCCAGAAAAGGAATCATGTAACAGTCCTGTTGACACAGGCCCATCCCCTTTTCTCCTCCGTTTAAAGTTTCTTCTGGCCACGGCACGTGACCCATAAGACGCTGTCAATGCAACTGCCTTCGAGTCCTCGTCCTCCGAGAAGGACGAGGATGGTTAAGCAAACGAGGCATGCATTAAAATGGCGATGGCTACAACTGCAACTGAAAATGAGCCAAATGAATGGGGTTGGAAGGGAAAAAGGGGGTGGGCGAGATGAGGGAAGACTTGGAAAAGAGGAAGGCCTAAGGAAAACCCGTTGAGTCCGTGAAGGCCAGGCCAAAGGAAAAGCGAGAAAAGCGGGCCAGGCGAGGGAAAACAACGCTTTCGACTTCGCCTCCAATGTGAAACTCGATCGGGATTTGGGTCAAAGGAAAAGCAACGGGCTGCGCCACCAAAGAGCGGGACCGCTCTGCCACTAACAGGACCAAAATCCAGAAACAGGACCAACTTCATCATCGTCATCATCGGTCCATGCCAAAACATAATCGTCAAAGCTGAAGGCCCCAAGGCAACCCGACCGGTCTCTGGTTGTTTTTGCTGCCTGCCAGCAAAAGTTGAAATAAATTTAATTGAATTTCTGCAGTGACATAAAGCAAATGGCAACATGGACGCCAGAGAAGAGAAGAGTCAGGCCGAAAAGAAAGCCGGCCAACAGCGAAAGCAAAAGTTTGTTTTTCAAATTAATGAAATTTATTTTACGCATGTGCCACAACATGTCAGCAGCCGAAGACGGAAGAGAATAAAAGAAAAGTAAAAGAGTTAAGGACATAAGATTACGAAATCGAATACGGACTCGCACTAAATTTTGTGGTTTAAAGAGAATATAAAACAAGTCATAGTTATAAAGCTTCAAAAGAGTAGTAAAAAAATATGTTATAGCTGACACAGTTCTGTTCCTTTCTATTTGCACAATAACAAGGAGCTATATTCATGGTCACTATTAATTACCTTTTCCCAAATGGAAGTAAATACTTATTAGAACTGATTTCCATAGAATTCCCACAATAGAAAACTTGTAGAGTTGAACAAAACTGACCAGGCTTCAACACCAATAAGGCAAAAGCTTTAACAAACAACTAATTGAATTTCAACACAAAAACCACATGGCAAAACTAATTTCAATAAATAAAAGTGACATTAGATACAAAAACAGAACCCCAGAAAAAAAATCACTTAGTGTGTCTGTTCCGGTTGCTGGCCCCGAATTCCCATCAGCCGGCAGTTGTCCTTGCCTGCAAATGGCAGTTGGTTTTTGGGTTAATTAGCCAAGTGAACGTTGCGGTTACGTGTGTTGCCTTTCTCCGCACCACTCAACCACCCAACCATCCAACCATCCAACCACCCAACCACCCGACCATCCACCCACCAGTCACCAGTCACCGTGTGAAGCTAATTGCAAAATCCTATTATATATCCATTAGATACGCACACACCGTGCCGTTGAGCATAAAAGTATCGCTTCGCCACATCAGAAAGTCAGTCCCTCACTTTTGCCCAACCTCAAACTAATAGAATTCGAACTGCCATATATAAAATTCATAAACATCTTGGCGTATACTAAATGGGCAAAGACTTTGCCCGTTGATGCCACTTTGTCACCCATTATTTTTCATTTACGCACATTTTTAATGAAACTGCCCATTTCTGTGACATTCAATATGCCTCAATATGCTTCTTGTACGAAAACGATAACTATAACTATAATGGGAAACTAAGAGGGAGTAAGCGGATTTTATTCCAATCTGTATGTGGTAAACAAAGTAATAATCATAAATAAATCGGTCTATAAAGGCAAACGAATGGCAAAAGTTTTACAAAAGAGATGTTGGAATACATAAAATCCTGATGATGCATGAACGCATTTATAAGTAAAATAATTACTAGACTTAAACTTTATGGAAACTTTATCTCATCGAGAGAAAGACATTTAAAACATTTAAAGACTGCAATAAATAAAATCTATTCAGAAGGGCTTAGAATATTTAATAGAAATTCTTTTTAAATGATTATCCGAAAGCTTAACTTCTCCTAACTAAGTTTTGTGTTAAGGGTATGATAAAAACTTCACACTTTAGCATCGTTTGAGCTGCTTAGCTTAATTATTTAGCGGATAACTAAACATGAACGCATTTTAGCCAACCAACAGTAAAAACAGTACAAATTTGCATACTTGTATCAGCAGCTTGTTTGTTGAATTGCTGACGAGAATCGGGTAAATTATATACAAAACAATGAGCAGAGGAAAACGGTTCGGGCAGAATAAACAAATTTACAATTAATTTCCTGTCCGAGGAAATTGGCAAAATATTTGGCAAATGCATAATTGAAACTGTTGGTGTCGCCTGTCGGATGACAGATTCGGGATGATGGATAAAACTTACTCGTTGTGCGGTATATCCTCGTCCTGATCGGCGAATGCTACAAATATGTGCATTTTGAATATTAGCAAGCCCAGCACAATGGCCACAAAGCAGCTCCAGTGTTTGCTCTCCATTTTCTGCTTGTTTTGCTGTCCGTGTGCGTATTTATATGAATCAATTTGTTTTTGTATAGTTCACGATTAAATCCCTTGTTTGCGGCTTGCCCCAATATCGATTGGGTATTCGGTTTCCAAATTGTATAATTTTTTATTGTTCTGGTGCTCAGCACATGGGATAACCACCACTGAACAGTTCACAAATTAAATAGAATTTCCGCTTTAATTGATTTATTTTTCCACGTATTGACACTTCAGGCAAAATGTTCTCTGCAGCATCACAAAAGTTTTTAATTTAAGTTTTTATTGCATTATCATATTTTGTGTAGCTGGTTTATTTTAGTTTCGGTTTAGTTTTGACTTTCATATACTTGTTATGAACGCTGCAAAGTCGGACAAAATTTGTTGCCAAAAGTCTTGATTGCTTTTTCCGGATATATTCAACATGGTTGAAAAACTATTTTAATCGCTTTTGTTTTTAGACGACAAGTGTTAATTGAGCTGGTAGTTGGATATGTGGTTTGTAGTTCGTTAGTATTTTTACCTGCAATAAAAGAAGAAAGTCAAAGTTTTAAAATAGGTATACATTTCTAAAGTCCAAGTGTTTGTATTAAACCAAAAGATATTTATAAAGGGTCACTACAAAAGTATATTTATTTACAACTTTTTTAAAATGTAGATAAATTTGGTCTGTGGCCTTGCTGTTTTATTTATTTTACCGCAAGAAGCAAAGAGAATTGGTTTACAAATAGTTTTCACTTGGCTCTCAAACAGACCAGAAATATTTCTAGCATATATGTTTTCACGATTTTGATTGTGGATGGGGCCAACGGGTTGATTCCCTGGCTCCATGTGAATTTGACCTAGAAATGCGTTTCCACCCACCATCCCACCGCACGCACACTTATGCAGAAGCATAACTCACACACAGACAGACGCAACTTCGGGATGTTTTTCGAGCTCGAACTCGAAGTCGAATCGGCGACGAACATGCGCAGTGTGGGAAGGCGGCTTCACTCATTCACCCGTGCTCCTGTTTTTGCGCCAGAGAGTGGTCCTTTTTTGTATGGGCATGCCACCCCCCGAAACGGGGCGCACATTGCCATACATCCTGCCCTGCGAGAATGCTTGTGCACGTCCCCAAGGATATCGCGTAATAATTTTCATTAAACACGCTGCAAGCCTTTGCCTCGTTTCCAGCCCAACACAGCCACATCCGCAAGAAGGAAAGACAATTTATTGCGGCCAATACGCACTCACATACTCACACACTCACGCCTCCGCCGCACATATCTAAATATGTGTCTGTGTGTGTGTATATATGTATATCTAACCGGATTTCGCACGCTTTTCTGATTTCCCCGGACCCTGTGCCACTTCTGCCTCAACATCAAAAAGTTTGACAGAAGTGGAGCGCCATCCACGCTGGAGATGCGACATCGAACCGGCACCACATGCAAAACCTACAGAAAGTCAACGACTTTGCTGCAAGCCCTGAAAAGTAGGCAACTTTAACCATAAACTAACCAATGTTGCCTCATATGCCACATTACTGTTCGTAGCTATGTTTCCAATAATGAACTTTTGTCTTTTCTTTATTAAAAGACAATTAAAAATGCTCACAGAGACTCTTAAATGAAAAAATGTTGACGATTTTGCCATTATGTTCTTAAAAAAAACTTTGAATGCAATTTTGGTGTGTCCAACAAATATATTGGAAATAATTTAATTATGTTCGATAGAATTAGAATAACTAAGTTACTTAAAAAAGGTTGCAGACCTTTGAAGCTCTTTATAGAACTCTTAAAATGGGAAGTGCTTTGCTTTTGTGCTGTTTGATTTTCCAGATAACATAAATTTACAGTTATATAAATTAATTAAGTTAGAGAATAACTTCGATTCGAGCTAAAAGCCATATCTACTAAACTATTTATTAAAATTTAATAAAAGCTTAAATATTATTAATACCCCGTCTAACTAAAAGTCACTCATTTACGATTACGCCATCAAAATAGCCTTTTCCAATGGGGTCTCGAGTGGGGAAAAAAAATGCGAAAAAAATAATAGTGATAATAAAAATAAAGGCATGTGCAACATGGCGTATACGCAACGTTGGCGTCAGGCAACGTCAAGCGGACGAAACCCATTGTTGGAAAGTGAAAGTTTATAGTTGGCGCACGTTCATAAAGTTTTGCGTGTTATACAAAAGATTTATTATATCGCATATATCGCTAGCTCCTGCCATTCTTTTTTCCATTTCCCCATCCTGCGCATTCGTCCTTTCCCATCCCGATTTCCCCCGCTCAGATTTTGCCTTTCTGTTTTGTTTGCCTTTGCCGTTTTATGTTTGGCCTGACTTTTTGGTTTTGTTTGCCCCACAGCAGCAGCGGCAGCTCAAAAGCAATATGGCCTTGGGAGTTTTCGTAATGGAATTAATGTGCCTGTGAAAATTTCAATAGGCGGCGTACAAAACATTTTTACAACCAAAGACGGATATGTCTGTGTGTCTGGCAGTAGAAAATGTTGATAAGTTATAAATCGGTTGCCTGTTAGCTTTTGAGCAGGCCACATGACATATTTATTGTTATGTGTGGAAAGACCTTTTTTCATTTAATTCGCCCATGAGTTTTGAAAAGAATATTAGCTTGGATATTAATAAATCCTTTAAAATCTGTCTGAGTCAATGTCTCTTAAGTTAGAAAATGCAAGAAATTTTTAGAAGCTGAACCTAAAATCTTCAATCATATAAAGTTAAAAATGTACTAAGTTTGAAACACAAATTTAAGGTTTTAGTTTTAAGTTTTTATAATATCTTCCTAATATTTTAGAACTTGTCACAAATTAAATCTTTTGTTTTAATGATTACTAAATCTTATAAATTCTTCTGAAACAAACACTTTTAAGTCCTTTAAGTTCTTATGAAACAACTATTCCTAAGCGAACATAATTCCAAAGGACTGCAAGCGACTAAAAAACCATAAAACGTGAGCCTCAAAAAAAAATTAATAATAATCCTCTATACGACAAGCCGTACACACACCCGAACTTCGATGTATGGTTAGTATATATATTTGTATTTAGATGGGTAAACAGCTTACAAAGCTGCAGCGGCAGGACTCCTGGGAGGGAGATTAGGGGGCGTCGGGATTTGTATGTGGGAAGGCCAGCCAGAGGTTACGGGGTATTGGTCAAGCCTTGAGATTTTACGCAGCTGCGTAAGCTGCGTGGCTGTAGTACACGATAGACCGTTATTATGTGCCATGTGGCCGTGTGTTAGTGTGTTTGGGTGAGCGTGCGTAGTAGTAAATAGTAAAACGGCGTAGCATACTTCTTTGGGCGCGCAAACACAAGGACCCGCACACAAAAACGCACACACCAATGCGCACCTCAACGCGTACGGACACGTCTATGCGCGATTTTTGATTTATGCTCCCATCAATTGAAACTTTGGCAAATTTTTTTTCCGGATTTCTATGATTTTCAGTCACGCTTTCGTTAGTTATTTTGGGCTTTTTGTTTTGCCCATTTTATTGTGCAATCAACGGGGGGTTCTCTCTCTTTGAGGACTCTCTTTCTCTCTCGTCCTGACTCTCTCCCCCTCTCACTCTGACTTACTTGATGCTCCCGTGCGCGCCAAATTCGCAATTTCGAATTTCGAAGCCCGAATGGCGAAGGATTTGACCAAAAACAAAGTGGCCAAGAGGTTTTTAGTGGGTGGGTGGTGCAGCCAGGCGCAGATTTGCCGACACTTTTTACTACGCGACTTTCGAGCTGGAGAAAACGACGCGAAAACGAGAAGCGCGAAACGAGAGACGAGAGATTTATTTGGCTGCGCGGCCTCGTCTCTTCGGCTTTTTGGCGCTCACAATTATTGCACCACCACAGGCACACGCACACGCACATACATTATACATATACACAGATATATCTGTATTGGATTTTTTTCCAAAGTTTGGATTTTGAAGATATCCTGCCGAGTACAGAGATTTTCGAACTGGCTTTACAACACTGAACTTTTATGGGCAGCGATTATTGCTCTGCCGCCTTAGCACTTTAAGCTTTATTTCGTGTGACAAATAATATTGCACTTCGAGTTGGTTTGTTTCCTATTTTTTCTCTTTTTGTATCGGTGTTGCGGGTTGCATTGGGCAGAATTGAATTTTTGTTTGGACGCGGGTTCTGCTCGGAACGCATCCACACTCGCCAGATTCTCGCCACGAACTGAGTGGCGCTCTTGGGGTAAAAAGCTGTGGCTGTTGGGGCACGATTCCTCGATATTCGAACTCGTATCCTCTCGATTATGGCCAAGTTCGTTGGGGTTGCAAGGCGCCAGAGCTGCCAGATGCACCGATGCCCACTGTTAACCTCTCCCTCTCTGTTAACGGAACAGGATGTTAGTAGATTGCAAAAATATCGATATCAGGGTCAGAGTGCAACCAACCATTTAATTTCGGCGCGAATATTTGAATTCTAGACCAAGCTTACTTTGAACCGTTATATTTATTCTCTAATCGTATGAAAAACTGAAAGCATTACGCTCTTTGGCTCTCAATTCTTATCTTGAGCTCAATATAAATAAAATATTATCTCAATGCCTTTTATATTGTATATACATTGCAGTGATGCAGAGGTTATCAGAGGGTATTTGCCACTCAGTAAAAAAAAATTAGGTTCATAATTTGCACACATAACATTATTCAAGCAACGTTTTTGTTTTTTTTTTAAGAAAGATTATTTTGTACTTTTTTTAACCCAACAAGTAAATCCTCCGCCCCATAATAAAAACAAGGTCATAATTCAGTTTTATTTACAAAAATATATTTATTAACTCCATCAATTCAACTTGATTTGTATAGTTTCTGGTTTTGTGGTTATTTATTGACATCAAATCATGAATATAAGCGTACTTGTGAAATTATTTAAAATCAAATTCATATTTTTTAAAATGATTATTGCGTTTAAAAACTACAAATAAAACATAAATACATTAGATTTTTTTGTTTGCTTTTCTTTTAGTTGTTGTTTTTGTTGGTTTTGTGTTTTCATTCCAGCCTTAATTGTATGAACACTTACATGTTAATTATGCCTAAGCTATCAAATAAAAATATTTTTCTACGTTGCGTTTTTGCCATTTGAATGTACATAACATTTTTAAGCCATATAGAGAATTGTACACTTATATAATAATATATTATATGCGTTTCAGTTACGGGTATTTTTTGTTTTTGTGCGATTTGTGTGTATTTTGCTTTATGTACAGGATTTATTTGCTTAGCAAATTATGGCAAATTAGTCTAAATTAAAAAATTTTACATTGACGTTTAAATTATTTTGTGTTGATATAGTCCGTTCTGGGCGCTCAATTCATTTGTATAACTCATTTATTCTTCAGTTGCCATTTTCTTTGTCACTCCATGTCAGCTGTGGACTTGTTGTCTTGTTTTTTAATTTTTTTGTTTTTTGATTTATTGTTAGTAGGATTAGTTATCGAATGAAATGCTGGCTGCGGCATTAGTCGGTTTAGTGTAGCGATTCCCTCGACTTATGACCTAATTTTAGTTGATTAGTCAAGTACTAGCTTTGCCCTCTGCTCTTCGTCAGTTTTAGTGTGTTAATCTTGCGCTCGGTAATTGATAATGAATGAATGCATGACTGACTGAATGACTGGTTGACAGCTGGACATGTTTGATTGCGAACGTATTCTTGTGTGTGTGTTTCATTTTTGAGGTGTCAACAAAAAGTCGATGAAAGTATAACTCCACTTTAAGCTGGCTTTTGTTTTGCTCCTTTCAGCAGGTATTAGTCTAATGGTTAATTCAGTTTTGCCTTGTCTGCTATCCTCTAGGTATTTATATAGGTATATATGATTTTGTGTGTTTATAGATAGTATACATTTAAAATTATATTTCTGATTTACTATAAATACACAGAGTTAAATAATAAACTGAGCGAGGATATAAATGAAACGCGAGTTGAAAAACAAAGGCGCGCGGAAAATTTCAAATTAAATATGTTTTTAGCATAGGAATTAGGCAACTAATAACTTTTCACTTAACAAAAATAATTTAAATATAAGAAACACTTAACGTAGAGACTGTTTGGGCGGGTGTGGTGAGTTGTAAGATGATAATGGCCAAAATCGAGGCTATTATTTCTCTCAGCGATTATTATTTCTGCTGCTGCAGATTGTCGCAGGATTGCTGCTACTGCTGCTGCTGCTGCTGCTGCTAACGGTGGTGCTGCAACTGGAGGTGGTGCAGGTGGTGGTGGAGCTGATGCCGCTCCTGGCCGCCGTCTCATCGCCCTCATCGGCCAGGTAATCATCCGGCTTGTGACTAGAGGCAGGCGGCGTCAGCAGACTTTCGGGAGCGCGCAGCGCGGTGGCAGGTGAAGCCTGAATCCTGGCACGCATGGCATGCGCCGCATCCTGGGCCATCAGCACTTCGTCCTTAAAGAGAAAAAAATATAAAGGTAAGCGACTAAATTCAAAAACAACATAATATAGAAATTTCATATACAAATTCAGCATTTATCTCATTGAACTCCAAACATTTTTGAAGTATTTCTTTAGCTTTAACACCCTTCAGATACTTACATACATATCCATAGTTGTGGTGTGCGTTTGGATGATGTGCGAGTCGTCGGTGACAATATTTGGACAGACGTGGCCCAGTCCGAACTTGTTGCTGACCTGCTCGTTCTGCTCGTTCAGCTGCAGGTAGGTGGCCTTCTGGGAGATGACCCGGAAGAAGGGTTCCATCCAGCGGGCACACGGCTGAATCACCAGCCAATCCAAGCCAGAACAACGCAAAGCGGCCTCGCTAATAATAAAAAGTTAAATGGTAAGTTATGTGATCCAAATAAAATAGAAATTTATGTTAACTTACCGACTGAAAGTATGACTAATGGCGGCCGCTGCCAGAACGGAGTAGGGATAGTTGGCCATGCCGACGTCCAGGGTGCACAGATCCAACAGCTGCGATGTCTGCACAAACTCGAATCCGGAGAACTGCGGATAGATGAAGGCATCGTCCGCCTCCGTGGCCTTCTGCTTGCCAATCTGTGCGAACGAGGCCGGAGTGCGATTGTTCACATTCAGCTGCATGTAGACGCCCAGCCAGCCGGTGATGGTGATCGGACTGATGTCCCAGTCGAGCGCCTGCAGCAGGATCTTCTCGTGGTTGAGGATATCCTGCTCGGTGCAGGCGCCATCCGTCACGTAGGCGAACTCACCGATCTTCGGCGGATAGATCTCCTCCACCTTGGCGGCCACAAACAGACAGGTGATGCCAATCAACTGCAAGTGGGTCTTCTGCACCTTGTGCGCCACATGCAGATAGCGATCCAGATAGTCGACGGCCAGGTAAAAGGTCTCCCTGTGCAGCTTGTACACCTCGCACACCTCAATCAACCAGTCCAGGAGGATGGCGCGCATGCGGGGCTGCAGGCCAGGATGCTGATCCAACATGGAGATGCTTCGCAGGCGCGAATCCTGCTCATCCCGCTGGCACATCAGGCGCCACACATCGGCGGCATTGGCCCACGAGAGAGCAGGCAGTGGACACTGGGGCAGGACGCTTTCCAGCGCCGGCGACATGCAGTCGAAGGCAGCCGCATCATCGTGGACCTTCAGCGAACCCGGCATGTTGATCATGAGCTCACCCACCTTAATTGGCTGCTGCTGGTGATGCTGTTGCAAGCCGGGAGTTCGCTCCCCATTCACCGCCTGCTGCTGACTGCATCCCGAGGAGGCCGGCGAAATGGTGGACGAGTAGATCTCCTCGTCGTCGTCGACCTCCTCCTCCTCGCCATCGTCATCCTCTTCGTCTTCGTCGTAGGAGAAATCCTCGCAGCTGTCGTCCAAAAGATCATCTTCCTCTGGCTTTCTAACCAAGGAGCTTGTAGTACTGCTGGTGGTGGTCACTGTCTGCTCCACATCGTAGCGAACCACCACGGGCGGCTGCTTGGCACAGCGGTCTGGACTCGGCGGACTGTCCGGACTGTCCGGCAGCGGACTGTGTGGCGCCTCCGGCAGCTCCTCGGCCGGCGAGCTGCGTATGCTGAGCAGCTCCTGGGTGCTCTGGCCATCGGCGGAGGCAACGGGCGAGGTGTACACCGAGGAGGCCACCGACGAGAGGTTGCTCTGGTCGCTGCCGTACAAAGCGGGCAGTCGCTGCTGGCGCTTCGCCGATGGAGGCTCAAAACAGAGTTCGGGGTCCTAAAATAAAAGATAATGAAGAGTTTTAATAAATAAATAAATAAGTAGAAAAAAATATAGTATGGTAAATGCATAAATGTACGGAAAAACAAATAAGATAATCAAAAAATTAATCGAATATAGGTTGATAAAATGATAAATGTGCAAGTAAATATAAAATGTTTTACGATAAATATTAGGATATGTTTTATATTTATATATTTAGTGGGTATATTAAAATCCTACAACTCATTTTCTAAACAAATTTTAAGACTAAATACATATAGAGCTAAACAATCTTTACCATTTCAATAAATTTACGCTTCTGTTCCAACTTCATAATAACATGAACAACAGCAGAAGATATGGAGACTCAAGTCAATAATGGGATCACTCGGGTGGCGGAATTGGAAACGTGCCCCGAATATAATTAGGCAAGGAGTTTAGGAGAAATTTATGTGGGCACGCCTGTCAAAAATCGTAATCCTTGATAGATGGACCGTGTTTTTGGACCAAATGCACCCGCACAAGTTGAGAGCGAGGAGAGATCGCACAAAAGATCAAGGATCAGGCTATTCGCATGGAGGTAAAACAATAACACTTTATCTGGATGCTCGTTTTCGTGGGAACGGGTTTCGGGTTTCCTCTATTCTTTTTCGAATCTTTTTGGTTTGATCAATATAACAAAAATTGTTATTGCACTTTTTGCTTAAATGGTTTTTAATTTAGTAGCAGTCTTTGGTTATAATTTGTTGCTTTGTTACTTTGTTGCTTTGTTTCTTTGGTGTGATTAAGTAATTGTGCAAACAGATTTTTGGTTATAACATTTAAAACATTTTTGGCTTCGTTTTCGGTATGTTTCGAGTTGTTGTTGGTGGGTGATCTTGGCAAATCCGGTTCTTAAATTAGTTCTTTGCACTCGTTCTTGGTTGCTTCATAAATATTTTGTCAGTCTTTAGTCTTTACTTTTGCTACTTGGCAACGAGTAATTTAGGTTTAGATTTTTGGTTTTGGTTTCAGTGTCTTTTAGCTGTATGGGTATTTGTTTGATATTATTTTCGGGTTCACTCCGCTCTTGGCTAAATCGAGTACCAATCGCGTTGACGTGCTCTGTGCAACTGAGCTCGACGTTCTTCGTTCCAGATCGCCGATCCCCGAACCCTGATCCCCGATCCCCGATCTCCGATCGTCGTCGTTATCCTGTTTACCGAGTGCAACGGTTCCCGAAAATAGGGGTTGCTCTTCGGCTGCAACAACATCGGAATACAGCGGTAAAAACAGGATCGCTAGCGACTTTCCATCTCTTTTCAACGGGGGTAGTTTTCCGTAAGATATATCCACACATATACGTATAATACTTCTTGAGACGACGACGTTGTGTTGTTTTTGCAATGCATTTTTCGCCTTTGGGTGTTTATCAGCAACCAACAACAAATCCCACTGACGGCTGCGGCTCCTGATCCTTTTAACAATTATTTTTGTCAACATTTCTTTGCATCCAGGTAGACGGACGCAAGACGTCTTGGAAAATCACTACCTAACCCTCCTCACAAAGCGACATATAAACGGTATATAGGAAGTATATAGGTTATTTTTGCTAGTATTATAGCTTTTGGCTCGAGCTGCATTAAGGATCCCCTGCATATTGGCGGCCACTCTATAATAAATTATCTTTTGGCACAAATCAGAGGGAAAGGGCGGTGCTGAAGCCAAAATTTAGAGCGAGCCTAATGGAACCTTCTGCCCGGGGACCAAATCATAAGATTACAGCACGAAAATGTCAAAAAAAGTAGGAATGGAGAGAAACAATTGAGATTTCCTTGACCATTGTTCTCGCAGACAGATGATGGAAAACAGAAGCCGAGATCAAAAAGTCCATAAAGTAAAAAAAAACGTTTACAATATGGGACACAGATGTCACGCTTGGATTACCGAGATGTACAAAGATTAAATTTGAGAAGGCGTTTCAATCAAAAACCATTGTGAAAACTTTGAAAAGAATACAACCTTAGATTCAATTTTAATATGAGATAATATTTTAAGATATAATTTATCTATTTAATATTATCTGCTTCCATAAAATATGCTGAAAGATAAATAAAAATTCTTAGATTTAAAATTAAATGACATCTGCCGTCATACAAGCACATAAACCCAAAGAAAATTCTGAACAATTTTCCTTTAAAATCCCTTGATTTACAACTGCAATTGATCTTTGCATTGATAGAAAAGGGCTGCACATCCTATCAAATTGTGAAATTTATCAAATAGCAGACGTATTTCGTCAACTTTCTTAACAGTCAATCTCACACGTCGTAAAAGCTTAACAATATGAACCAACCCAACCCAACCCTACTTGCTCATTAAAGATTTTCACATAATTTGTTGCGTGAAAATGAGGGAAAAATTTTACGATATTTATGTGACAATTTTAATTGTCTGAGTAAGGTTTTTGCCCTTCCGACAAACATGCGAGGAAAAAGAATCCCCTTGTGGAGTCGGGGGTAAATAAATTTTTTGCTTCCAGACAGGAAGGTCCAAGACGCATGACAAATTTAATTTCTTATTCTTTTTGGCCAGCAAAATGCAACAACCCTCCTCCGGTGAAGATGATGTAGGTAGTAACCGGGAATGGCAATCGCAGAATGGAAATGAAAATGAAAATGGACATGGACATGGATATGGACACATGTCAAGGCACCCAGATGCAATGTAATTAAAATCAAAGCGTGCAATGGCCTAAGAAGCCATCTCCGCACACAATGCACATTCCTCTAGCCTTATTATTTAACTTTATTTCTTCCCTTTTTGGTGCGTGGACACATTCTGCCGTTTGCCGTCCATCTGCCGCTGCGATTTGGTCAAGCGTTAAGAAATCGACAAGATTATATGTATGAAAATTCCCAGTTTACCTAATGACATGAGCGATTTCGAAGGAGAAAGATCGGTCGGTCGAGTGATTGTGTGAGAAATTAGTGAACTGGGAAAAGTGGGCTGGAATCTGGAATCTGAAATCTGGACCAAACCGACCGAGAGGGTTGCATCCCAAGTTTAACAAGGGTTAAACTGGGTTGTTGCCCTTAAGCCGCCGCCTCAAGGATTTAGTTTTCTCAAGTCCAAGCATAGGCAGCTGCAATCGCAAGGATCACAGTTCCTTCAGATCGCAACCCAGCAACCCACAAGACACCCAAAACATCTCTCGAAATCTCACTGGGAGGGAGGCCATGGATATCGCCACGGGCAGATGATGCAATTCCTCAAAAGTTATGGGTACCTATATACGTACTATACCAAACATACAAAGGCAGTCAAGAAGCGATTGTTATGCGACAACCTCAATGTCCTGGTGCCCCATTGTGTCCTGCCCCGCACTCACTCTCTATCCCTTTCTCTTTCTCTCTTATTGAGTCTGCCTACCCTATAAAGTCCTGCGCTTATGTGTCGTAATCTTTCGACGGCCGTCTGCTCAAAAACGAAACACCTTTAGTTTTCATACCTTGGCGTGGGTCCAGGTGTAACTTTTTTTTCGCCGCTGCTGCCTTGTAATACGCTGCATTGTTGTTTCATTTTATTTTTCTTTCATTTCGTTTTTTTCCATTTCTCCCCCAAGTTTTTATATAACATTTAATTCCAATGGCCTGGGGTAATTGTTAATATTTTTTCAGGCAGTTGATTCGGTACGGAATAAAGATTAGGATTTCCTAGAAGTTCGGGGATCCAGCTTGGTATTTCCTTATAAAATATTACTACAACTTCAGAAAGGACAAATATAACTGACAAATTATGATTTCCCTTATGGTTATTAGCTCAAGTCCTGTCCACTTTTGGGAAAGCATTACTGCTCTTCTTTTAATAAATGATATGCAAACAACATGCCAGAGGACAAATCCCACAGAGACCATAACAAACACTCATATTTCCAACCAACTCGGATGACCCGTGGTCAGTATGAAAAGGGTTAGTCCAACACAATACTTTCGCGGTGACTTGACTGGATTTATCATCGGGGAAATTTGAATTTTTGGTGGGCCAAGGGGACAGCAATGAAGCTTGGACATGTAATTAATCATGCAATTGGTAAGATCCATGACCAAACGAATTAAAGCATAACCCATTGGTGAAATGAGAGGAGGGTAAGTGGACAAGGGGCAAACCGCGAATGAATTTTGAATGCGAAAAATGGAATGATGAGTGTTAGGGGAAAATCATTTCTCTGCAGGATAATTCAGCCTAGAAATTTTCCGGATATTATAAATGGTATTTGAAATAAGTTTAAATCCTTTAATTTTGGATTATCATTCAATTTGAAGAAACTTAATGCTTAAAAGAATTCTTAATGTAATAGAATATGTTTACCCACTCAATAACTTGTTCCTTGATCAGATCAATCTTGATTGTCACAAATCTGAAAACAGATCACTGGCCAAGCTTCCCTTACCATCCAAACTTCATCTCTTGTTTACCATTGCCTAAATAAAATCCTCTTTAAATTTTAAAAATTCTTTGAATTGCAAAACAGACGATGCATGATCCCAGGACGGGATGCAATCTGGGAAAACGAAACTTGGATTCAGTTTCCCAACCCAGTTTCCCACAATGTCCCGAAACTGACTTGACAGAAATCAAGACCCGCACTTGATTGCACCGAAAAGAAACCCCGAGGACAAGAGCAAACCCAACTCCCCTTTCGGGACAAAAGAAACAAAGAAGTTTCCCAAAAAACCAAGGGAACTTTCAGCGATTTCATGCCTGCCATGTAAAAAAGCAAGAGAAAAAAGGGTTTACATTACACTGACAAATTGGTAAAATAATACCATAATTTTGATCCTTGTGCCAGCAGCAAAACAAATATTGTATAATATTTCAAGACCGCATTCCGATGCAGGAGCGTTGTGCGTGTCCCAAAGGAAGCAGATGACACAAGAGCGCTGCAAGGAGCTGAATGATTTGCATAAAAGTTTAACGGAAATCTAATGAGCAGACGTCGCAGGATCGTCGCAACGCATTTGCATAAGGATAACATGTCCCGAAACGGGGTAGCAAAATGCAACCCAGTTGGAAAGCATTTTTTATAATAGGTTGGATCTTCTGCAGAAGCAAATGTCGTCTCGATGAATATTTAATTAGGGAAGAAAAGGAAAAACTCGGCCCAGTGATCCTTGAAAAGGATAAGGCGTTGCTCAACCCCTCCGTGCGTTTGTTCGTTGGTTCGTTCGTGTTTGTGGTTTTCAGTTCTGTCCCATTCCGGTAGTCACTTCGATCCCCTTTACCCATCCTGGTGATCGTCTTGATCTAGTTCCTCTGCCTCAAGCTAACCTATAACTATCGCAATTTCAAATTTCTTGCAACGGCCTTAACGGACATTTGCCGCCGCCTTGACTTCGGGGAAAATCCACCCCTGGAGAAGTCGGACTTTCGGCTAAAGGTGTGCGCGCATGCGCAACGACGCCTTCTGTCCTTGGTCTCCTTTGTCCTGCCGTGCATACATATGCTCAGCACTCTGCCAAGACCCCTTCGGAATTCCCAGTTCCGAGTTCCGAGTTTTTACCCAACAACAAAGTTCGCCTGAAGGGGGGCAAATATTGCCTTGCCATCCATTTTTTTCGTACGAGAATGACATTTGTTTGGCGGGGAAGTAAAGGTAAAAACTCTGCAAAAACAAAAAACAGCACAGAACCCATGGCAAAAAATATCAGGAATTGTTTGGGAGTGAACTGTTAAGATACCCTTGAATATGTTCTAGTTTGAGATCATTTTGATATTATATGTTGGAATATTTGCTGGTTTTTTCATTTTTAAACTGAAGTTTTACGTTTTACTTCCAATATTTCTTTAACAGAATTTTGTGTAACATATAGTATAGATTTTTTACAGTATATTAAATCATTTGAAATCCATGGATAATATTATGTTTATTTCAATGTTTCTAAGAAACAATTTTTAAGATATCTTTACTTCTTCTCCTCAAATTAAGATTCCCTTTCCAAGCGTAGCAAACAAGAAAACAATTTCTGCAAGTTCTTTGCACGTATAGGAGAACATTCTCCCCCCTCGATATTTATCCTACAGCACTGAAAAAAAATCCTTTGCACCAACACAGCTGCCCGTCGCCACAAGACGAAGCCATTGTACTCCGCCTT